CAACCTCAATTGCAGTGCTCAGTCGAGTAATCAGGTACTCTGTACTCCGTACCACGCTAATCTCGGAGGAGACCGAGGGAATGGCTCTAACCTCTAGTAGAATTGCGAGTTCTGACTATTGCATGCTAGGTAGTAGTGTGACCAGCTCCTGTGCTATTCTTGTACCTATCTACACTTACGGAGTAGCGTATCTAGCTGAAGACCCTGTTGACTTCATAAGGCGATAAAACACCGTGACCAACTCTCCAATCTGAGTAGTATCTACCTCTTAACTCCAGAGTATCTTCCTCAATCCGTCCACCCATATCTTCAAGCCAATCAAACACTTGGGTAGGGCTATGTGTGGATGACTCCACCAGGCCTTTGTCTCAGAAGTCGCCCTGAGAAAGGCCATGGAAAGGATAAAACTCATAAAATGTTCCAGACTCGCCGCTAGTGGCAACTGGTGATTCGTGGGCGAAAATAGCAGTCGCCAATAGTGGCCACTCATAGTGGTCGATCATTGTCTGTGGAGTGGCATCTTTTTTTGTTCCATCCTTATTTCCCTTCGGTTCTCTTTTTGATCTGCCATCTTTTGTTGCCATCTCTCTACCGAGAGATGCAGGAACGATAATACAAACATGAACTGTTCCAGTGGTACGGGGAGCATGGCTGATGCAACCAAGGTTGTGCATCTCAACTCTGACTGATAATAGAGTGTACCAGCTACCAACTGTTCATCTACCAGGGAATGAGTCTGATTACGTACGGTCATCAGGTACGGATGGATACTCAAGGTGTAGACAAAAATCACGAGTATATGTGGTCGGGTCAGTTGATGGTCTCCAATACTGTGTATAGAATCAGCAGATATCTGAGCACTAGTCATTTCTATCTCCATGCTATAATCTGTATCAGCTTTGTATTGTCCTCTTTCTCTAAGCGATTTCCAGAATCCCATCCCAGATGTTTAGCCTCTAATCGCTGTTCCAGACCCGCCTCCATCGAGCCCACATGCGGGTGTCCTTCTTCTCTTGTTGCTGTCTTGCGTTGTTCTCCGCGCCATTCCCCCGTCATTATTCATCCATTTCAATCTTTTTCTTTTCCCTTTCCTGTCTCTTTTCTCGTCTCTTTTACATGCCATGCATCTGTACTTTTCCATCACCTAGTCGCTCGTTTCTGCCATATACCTCTCCCCTCTGAATCCTCTGATGAAGCCCTCACCGCCCGCCCTCTCATCCATGCCGCAGTAGATCCTCACTACCATGGACCACTTCGCTCTGCGACAGCGTGACAATCCGTCGGGCGCTGAGCAGTTTCTCAAGCTTATTCAAGACCCTTTCAAATCGGCTGTGAGTTCTCCTGATCCTTTTCGATTCTGCAATCGCTAAAGCATGTCCAATAGTTCCAAGTCAACGCCGTGTGGGCTTCCCTAGGCGCCTCCGCCGGTATCTCCGTCCTCCTCGCCCTCCTCTTTTCCCTCTTTCGTCCCCGTCACACGCTTGTATATGCGCCCAAAGTCAAACATGCGGATCGGAGACATACGCCGCCCCCGGTGGGCAAGGGCTTCTTCGCCTGGATGAGACCCGTTCTGCGCACGAGAGAGCCCGAGCTCGTGGAATGCATTGGCCTCGATGCGACCGTCTTTCTGCGCTTCACCAAGATGTGCCGCAATATCTTCATCATTTTGAGTATCATCGGATGTGGCGTGATGATTCCGGTTAACATCACCAAGAGCAACGGCTCTGGCATATCGTCATTGTCGGCGTTTGCGACAATGACCCCGCTTTATGTCACAACGGAGGCTATCTGGAGTCAAGTCGTTTGTGCCTGGGCCTTCGACATCATCATTGCTTACTTTCTTTGGCGGAATTACAAGGCCGTAACAGCTTTGCGGAGAAAGTATTTCCAGAGCTCTGACTATCAGCGTAGTCTGCATGCTCGAACCTTGATGGTGTGTTACGCCCGCAAAGTAGCTGCTTACATCCATCACTGACGGTTGTAGATTACTGATGTTCCCAAAGAGGCACGTTCGGACGAAGCCCTCATGCGCCTTGTGGATGAATTTAACCCCACAGCTGCTCTCCCGCGGGCCTCCATCGGCCGAAACGTCAAGGATCTCCCCGTGTTGATCAAGGAGCATGAGGAAACCGTGCGGCAACTCGAGTCGGTCCTCGCGAAATATTTCAAGAGGCCCGATCAGCTACCTGCCAAGCGACCATTGATGCGTCCTTCCAAGAAGCAAAGAGGCAATCACCCGGATTGCAAGGTAGATGCCATTGATTACCTCACCGACCGCATCCAACGCCTGGAGGAAGAGATCCGTCACGTTCGTGCCTCCATCGACAAGCGCAACGCCATGCCATTCGGTTTCGTCAGTTGGGACATGATTGAGCATGCACATGCCGTCGCCTTTACAGCGCGAAAGAAACACCCCAAAGGAACCATGATCCAGCTGGCACCTCGCCCGAACGATCTCATCTGGGAGAATTTGCCGTTGTCCAAACAGGCGCGAAAGTGGAAACGATTCATGAACTTCATCTGGACTACTTTGTTGACCGTCGTATGGATCGCTCCTAACGCCATGATCGCCATTTTCTTGTCCAATTTGTCCAACCTGGGTCTGGTCTGGCCGGCTTTCCAGACGTCGCTCAATGCGAACCCGAACGTCTGGGCCGCTGTCCAGGGTATCCTCTCTCCGGCGATCACCTCGATAGTTTACCTGGTTCTACCGATCATCTTCCGTCGCCTGTCAATCAAGGCGGGTGACACGACCAAAACCTCGCGAGAACGCCACGTCCTGAGTCACCTGTACTCGTTCTTCGTCTTCAATAACCTGATCGTCTTCTCGCTCTTCTCTGCCGCGTGGACATTTGTGGCTGCTGTCATCGACGCCAAGAAAAACGACGAGGACGCCTGGCAAGCGATTCAGGATGGCGCTTTCTACCAAAAGGTCATGAGCGCCTTGTGCCAGGTGTCTCCGTTTTGGGTGACCTGGCTGCTGCAGCGCAATCTCGGAGCGGCGATCGACCTCGTGCAGCTGGTCACGCTGTTCTGGGTTTGGTTCTCCAAGACCTTTCTCGCGCCCACGCCCCGGCAGGCCATTGAATGGACCGCGCCCCCGCCGTTTGATTATGCGAGCTACTACAATTACTTTCTCTTCTATGCCACCGTGGCGTTGTGTTTCGCAACGCTGCAGCCCATCGTCCTTCCCGTCACTGCGTTGTATTTCGGATTGGATGCGATGTTGAAGAAATATCTGTTGCTCTATGTGTTCGTGACGAAGACGGAATCGGGAGGCCAGTTCTGGCGCGTCTTGTTCAACCGTCTAGTCTTTGCGACGATCCTCTCCAATGTAATAATTGCGCTGGTGGCCAAAACCAAGGGCACCTGGGACATGGTCTACTGTGTGATTCCGCTCCCCTTCCTGATGCTGGCATTCAAGTTCTACTGCATGAAGAAATTCGACGATGACATCAAATACTACAACCGGGCCAACCTGACCGATGCAGAGGCGTTCGCTGTCGGCAAGTCAGGCAAGAAGGGGTCTGATCGGCTCAACTCCAAGTTCGGCCATCCGGCGCTGTACAAGCCTCTGATCACGCCGATGGTGCACGCCAAGGCTGCGGAAGCACTCAAACAAATCTATCGCGGTCGACTCGGCGCCTCGGACGCCCAAGGAGAATACTCGGACATTGCAATGGATCCCATGTCGACAACGCAACCGGGCAAGGCCATGGACGCCGCCTCATCGGCACCCTTCGAGGTTGTCCCGGAAAATCATCTGGACTTTTCCTTTTTCAAAGATCGTCCAGACTTCCGTGACGAGTTTGGTGGGGGGATCTACGGCCGCCCCGAGGATCTGATGACCGAGCGGTCCCAGACGCCGAGAAGCCACTTGGCCGAATGGTCTCCGACGACATCGCGAGCGTCATCACCTACGCCGTCGCTCCCGTCGCTCTCTGGGCTGAAAATGCACGAAGGCTCCGACGCAGGCGCGAATGATATACACCCTGCCTTCCGCCCTTCGCTCACGCGTGAGGAGAGTGCGTCGATGGGCACGGGTCTGTACCATCACCCGAGCGCGAGTGAGTCTCAGCAGCTTCTCAGCCAGGCCCAGGTGCCAGGCACGAGCGACGTCTCAGCTGTTCCACTGAGCCGATGGCGGACTGGAGGATACGGGCCTGTTGAGCAGGACGATCCCAGCTTCACCTCGTATGAGCACTACCGACCTGCGCGGTAGTCTGGCAGACGATTTGTACAGCTGAGTGGTTTGGTTATGTTATAAACTTGATGTTATGTATAGATTTGGTTGGCGGGGCTTGATTCGAGTTGGATTGTACATTTGGACACGGGGTTAACGAACTTTACGCCTATATCGCATGACCATTTGATTCATTATTTATGACCTGAATATGCACCTGTAGAGATCAGCTAGATATCCTGGATATGATGAATACCTGAATTGCAATAGACCGACTGGCTATCTTCAAAATAATGGAACTTCTTGGTGCACCTGTAATGATTATGCTTAGGATTTTCCCGATTGGGCCGACGGCGGAGTCGGAGTTGGCTCCCGGCTCAAGAGCTGTCCTTACTTCCTTCTTCTCTCCCCTGAAAACAGTAATAGTAGCCTTTTCTCCTTTTTCCAGTCCGTACTTTTTCTTCAACGAGGACGCTTTTCCGAGGCCGACTTTGACGTTGATGTCACTCTCGCTAGACTCTTCCAACTCCTGTACGACGATATTGTACGCCTCCGCACCTCCGCATCAAACCGAGCACTCGAGCTCAGCATCGACTCCCTCACCCCTGCCATCAGCCAAGGATCTACCAATGCTTCTGCAGTAACCCGCCGGGGAATCTCTAAACCTCGAGTCCAACCCCTTGACAGCACCTCCATCTACCTGGGCATTCGCCCCTCCGCACGAATGCTCGCCGCCTGACGATACTCCCTGTATACGAAGAACAACTACACAAACAGAACTTCAAAAGAAAGCCACGGCAAAGAAAAGCACGAGGAAATGGCGTGGTACTCCATCCTCCCCCCAGACCTCATCTACGTCGAGAGCTGGGCCGCTCGGATCTTCGTACGCCTCCCCTCCCCTTCACCCGCACCCCGCACCCGAGAACTGCGCTGGGCGGATGCTAATCTTGTGGCCGGTTGCAGGTCTTCCTCGGCATCATCACCATCTTCCCCTGGGCGGCGCTGATCGTCTTCGACGTGCTGTTGTATCTCTGGCGGATGGGGGCGTACGAGTTCCCTGTCATCGGGGGCCGGGCGAGAGGTATGCAACGGCCTCGGGCGCCGAGTCTGAATGTGAATGCGAGTGAGAGGAGGGAGGTGCCGAGGCGGGTGTTTGGTCTTGGGGCGGCCGTCAATGCCGGGGGCGGCGGCGAGGTGGGTGAGCAGTCGGGGGTGAAGAAGAGGGTGGTGAGGGATACGGATGGTGAGGGAGGCGCTTGATTGCGAGGTCTTGTGGTTTTCAATGGCGATGGCTGCTTGTCGTTTGACTTGTCGCCGTGGTGTTTAGGCGCATCTGTATTGATACCCATTATGTTTATGTTGTTTTCTGTGGCCTATATTCTTTACTGTATGTATACTTCTACCTGATCATGCCGTGGTAGCTCCATGGCCCAACTAATGCACTGTTGTCCTACACGATTCAACATCTGCATAGCTTGCAGATCATAAACACCTTTTCCTCTTGATAGAACGTCAGCCTCGTAATGATTCGTTCGGTGCTTGAGTCGAGTCGGCGTTACTCCGCGGTTCTCCCCGCCAATCGTGATTTTCCTCGACATCCAACTGGGCATGTCCCGCTCTTGACTCATCCTCAGGTTTATACTTCTGGTATACAATATATCATGGACGCATCATGTATCTCTGAGGAGACAAGTTCCCAATCTCAACCCTCGTAAACAGTCATGTCTACCGCTCGATTTCAGGATTACCTTGAGTCATGGAGATTACACCTCGAAAGAACCCCATTCATCGTCCTCTTCCTAGTCTTGGGGACTTTGGCATTCGCATACTGGAATCGCAAGGTCCGTCTCGCCATTCTTCCATTCCAACCCACTAACACTAGACAGACCGCCACATCCAGACATGAGTCTTCATCCTCAGGACAAGCATCGGGGTCGATGCGCGGATACCCCCCCATCACCCCCCTCCCCAACTTCACCTGGCAAACAACCAACCCACTGGTCTTCCGTCCCTTCAAGCCAAAATACCACTTGACGATGGGTACGCCCCCCCCCCTCCAGGGTAACCCCATCCGGCCTGCAACTAACGCAGCCAGCCCTCTCGAACCTGTCCGTCTCAGAGCTCATCCCCATGGACAAGACGTACAAAGAGCGGATGGCGCTTCGCGCCGCTCTACTAGCGCAGTACCGCGACGTCGTGCTCGGCGTGCACGACGAAGACGATCCGCGGATTCGGCGCGCAGTGGCGGAATTGTATACGTTCATCCTGGGGACGTATCTGCCCACGCGGTATCCGAGCATGTTTTCTCTGTCTGCGTCGGCGGACAAGAATAATCGTACAAGGTCAGTGGAGAACAAGGTAACGGGCAAGACGTGCCCGGTGGAGATGGACGCGGGGCAGCCCGTCATCAAGGGCCTAGAGATCCTGGGCCAGACCGTCGACGAGGATTTTCTCGTCCTCTTGCCGGAGAAGACCGAGACGGACACGGGGAAAGGGAAAGAAAACGAGGAGAGGTATTTCCTGGCGGCGTACACCACGTACTTCCCGTCTGGGTTCGACACCCGCGCGAAACTCGGGCTGCGGCTCGCTGCGATCCATGACCCGGTGCCTGGGTACCAGGAAAAGCTGGAGCGGAGCATGGACCGGTTCTTTGCGAGGGTGGAGGTGGGGAGGTTCGTGTCGAGGGTGAACTGGAGTGTCACGACGGAGACGGGGCTGTTTGCGGCGTTTGGGGGCGTGCATGGCTCGGCGGCTGGAGGGGGGCAGATTGAACCGGGGATGTTGGATGTGGATTCGGTAGGTTGGATGGACTCCCTGCAGGGGCTGAAGCTGATGTGATAGACGGTTCTCCGGTGTGAGCGGCAGACGCTGCATCGGCTGCCTCGGAGCAAGGCGCTCGTCTTTGCGTTCCATACGTATACGTATCCTCTGCGATCGATCAAGGAGGAAGGGCTGGGCGAGGAGCTGGCCACGGCGATCGATGGGTTGAAGGCGGGCAATGTGCCCGGGATGCATTGGTACAAACGGGGTTCTGTATGGGGCGAGGCCGTCAAGCACTTTCTACGTAGTTGATTATTGCTAGGACTATGCCTATCTAGTTACCCAATCGCTGGATCACCTTGATCAGATCGGCCGTCACCCCCATGGCCGTGACATCGCCGCCCGCACCGGCGCCCTGCACAATCAGCGGGTTGCTTCCGTACCGCTTGGTGTAGAAGCTGATGATATTGTCACTGCCCTTGAGCCCCGCAATGGCACTGTCCCTGTCGAACTGCTGCAGACCAACGCGCACCTCCTTCTTACCCACGTCCACACTGCCCACGTACCGCACGACCTTGCCCTGCTTCTCGGCCCCCTCCTTGATGGCCGCCATCTGCGCATCGAACTCAGGCAACCGGGTCATAAACTGCGTGATGCCGTCCGCGGTGGACGGCAGCGCCGCCAGCTCGGCGGGGATCAGCGACTCGATGGGGAAGGAATCCGGGCCCTGGACCTCGAGCCCCGCGATGCGCGCCAGGATGGTCAGCTTGCGCGCCACGTCCATGCCGTTCAGGTCATCGCGCGGGTCGGGCTCGGTGTATCCCAGCTCCTTGGCCTGGGCGACGACCTCGCTCCACTTGGCGTTGGAGGCGCCGGAGACGGGGGCAAAGGTGTTGAACAGGAAGGAAAGCGTGCCGGAGAACACGCCCTCGATGCGGGTGACCTCGTCGCCGGTCGCGACGAGATCGCGCAGCGTCGAGATGACGGGGAGCCCTGCGCCGACGGTGCTCTCGTGGTAGACGAGCGCCTTGCCCTCGGCGGCCGCGGCGAAGATCTCCTTCCACAGCGAGAGGTCGGAGGAGAAGCCCTTCTTGTTCGGCGTGACGATGGAGATGCCCTTGCGGAGGAAGACCGGGTACGAGCTGGCCAGTGCCGGGTCGCTGGTGTTGTCGACCAGGATGGAGCGGCCGGGGGCGGAGGCAAGATAGGCAGCGATCTCTTCGGGGGACAGAGCACCCGACTTAGTGAGGGAGGAGGACTCGGTGGCCGCCTTCCAGTCACCAGCGGGGATGGCGGGCGAGTAGGCCGGTGTCGGGGCCAGGAGGGTCTGTGTTGAGCGGGCAAGGAGGATCAGCTTGGGGGCATTGGGGAGACGGGCGAGTTGGTTCAGGAATGCACTTCCAACACCACCGACGCCTGCATTATTCATTGTGAGAGTGAGTCAGAGTACTCCAGATGCAGCGAGGGTGCGATACTCACCGATGACACCGAGATAGATGTTAGACATGGTCAATGGATGGAAAATCGACTGGTTTCTGTAATTGAAATGACTATAGACAGTCCAACAATTCCTAGATACTTTTCGCAGAGAACGCACAGGAAACGAGAGACAGCAGAGGGATGAATCACAAGGAGAGCAGAAAGCCAACGCTTTAATCGTGGGGTCGCGGGGCAGCGATTATCGGACCGGTGCCTGAGGCACAGATCGCTGGTTATCTAATCGACATCGGCGGGATTTATCTAGTTACTGCTCTTCTCCATCTCTAAGGTAGAAGTAAACCCATCCAACAGCTCACGAGCATCAGCATCAACCCAAAATGTCAAATACAAATCCATCCCTCTACGGCCTCCCACGGCACAGCCAAAAACCCTCCTCCCAATCGACCGCCCCCTCGGCCTCCACCCTCGCTTTCACCACCCAGCTCTCCTCGCTCATCACCAAGGGCACCGAGTCCTCCGCCCGCGGCCGCCCTCGACCCTCCAAATCCTCCAAATCAGACATCTTCGCCATCCACAACAAGGGCGCCCAGAAACGCGCCGCAGCCGATCTCCGCGATGCCGCCGCCGCCGCCGACGACGCCGACGAAACCTCCGTCCGCCAGATCCACAAGCGCACGGCGGACATTGGCGCCGTCGACGCCGCCACCCTGCACCGCTCCAAGCGGCGGCTGGAGGAAAAGGCGCGGATGTACGAGGATCTCAAGAGCGGGCTATACCTAGCGGGCGACAGCGATGAGGAGACGGAGACCAACACCCCGACAGGGGGAGAAGACTACCTGGCGCGACTCCGTCGGAAGGAGAGGGAGGGGCTGGTGGATTTCGATCGGAAATGGGCCGATGCGCAGCGAGCGAGGGGGTCAGACGATTCTGAGGCCGATTCTGACGGGGAGGAGGCCGCAGACGACAATGCGTCCGTCGTCTCGTACGAAGACGAGCTGGGGCGGACCCGTCGCGGGACCAGGGCCGAGGCTGCCCGCGCGGCGCTAGCCAGAGCGCAAGAGGGCGGCGAGGCTCGGGCCCCGGAGCGCTGGCGGCCTGCCCGGCCGGAGAATCTGATCTATGGGGCCGCCGTGCAGGCGGAGGCGTTCCATCTGTCGTCCTCTGCGGCGTCGCAGATGGCCTCGCTTGCTGCGCGGCGGGACCGGTCGCCTACGCCGCCGGGGGAGACGCACTACGATGCGGATGCGGAGGTGCGGAATCGCGGGACGGGCTTCTATGCTTTTGCCAAGGATGAGGAGACGCGGAGGAAGCAGATGGAGGAGCTGATGAGTGCACGGGAAGAGACGCAGCGCGAGCGGGAAGTTAGGCAGGCGAGGCGGGCGGAGCGAGAGCGGGTGAAGGACGAGAGGAGGAGGCAGATTGAGGAGCTACGGTCTAGGAGAAGGGCGGAGACGTTTCTGGCTGGTTTGGGAGATCTGGGTGCTCTGCAGGCGGATGCATCCTAGATTTGTGGAGTTGTCTTTATCAGCTCGCTGTACATTTTGATACCCTATTTGATATTTGTAAATGCTTGATGTAACCAAATCAACACCAAACACGAGTTCTTCCGGTGCTGTGCACCCGCAACCTATTATCAGAGATGCGAACGAATACCTCCCAAACGGATATATCAACGAGGCAAAATAAGCCGCTCAAAATACCATTTCTCATGACGGTCATGGCACATAAATCATGGGTATTGTGTTTTAGTCATCATGTTCGTCCACAGCTGGTTTTCCTGATACGATCTTTCTGAGAGAAAGTCTCACTGCGATCGTTCTTCTGACTCGCCTAATGCGAGTTGCGGCGTATCTCGCTAGCGAGTATTCGCCAGCTCTGCGATGGTCTCTACGAAACCTTGGGCATCTACACCCACGTCAGTATTCCCTACGAACCCCAAGATACAAAAAAACTCACCAGCGCGATTTGTAAACTGCAATATATGCTCCCCCCTCGACGTCTTCTGCGGGGTATAATCCGCGGAGAACATGAAGATGGTCTGACGGAGCTCGCGCAGCACAACCACCTTGGAATCCGGACGGCGGATCCAGCCGCGCGTCCCGAGGTGTTGGGTGATAAAGGCCGTCCACACGGGGGCTCTAGAAGAACCGGTGAGCTTTTGCATTCTCGGTGGATCGGTCATCATACCGTTTCATCTCCCCCTTGTGGACCGATGCCTGCAGCCTCACGGCTCCGGATACCTTGTCCCGGTAGATGCGCAAAGCGTGAAGGTAATTGTCGTCGAGGATTTGCCTGTTGCAATGTGAGCGTGGAATCGGTTTCTGTCTGCTAAGACCTACCCTCCAAAGAGCTCTTCTTCGTTATCGAGCTCGTAGTCACGGATGCTCTCCACAGGGCGACCGGCGTCTTGGGAGCGCAATGCTAGAAATGTGCAGAAGAAAAGTACCATCTCTAGTGCTCATGTCAGCAAAGGCTCTTCATTGGGCAGAGGGGTGACGTACGCTCGATGGTGCTGAACTTGAGGTTGGCCCACAATACCAGCTCGTACCCTCCGCGCCGTCGCCGACACAGGTTGAGACAGGAACCGACCCGGACGATCTCCAGAAGATTGAGAGGCATGCAGAAGTATTCACTCGGTCGTGTGGTGTGAGGAGCCTTGCACAACATCCGCGCTCGGTGGTCGTCCTCTCGAATGTAGAAATGCACGCGAAGGTCCGAGTCGCCGGTGAAAGCTCTGTGATGGTTAGCCGCGGTCTCTCCGGTATAGCAGGGCCTGGGATATGCCCACAATTGAAAGAGTTCTTCGAATCCTTCATCTTTGAGCCACCGCTTGACCCCAGGAGAATGATCACCAAGACATTTCGAACTAGTGTCATCATGCATCAATAGCTAGACACAGTGGCCAGGGGCCATCTTCGCGCTCACCTTTCGCCCACATAAGGAATCGGGGTCACTGTAATCTCATCCAGAAACACCCGCTTGGCCCAATGGTCGCTCACCATCGCATTAGAGCCAGCAGACTGGCTGGTATTGGTCGTAGAGCCGGTACTAGGTGATCCCGGCGCATCAGGAGCAGACGGAGGGATATCTGAAAATGTCCCCGATGAAGGAGAGAGGGGCGATTGAGGCGAGCGATGGGATGGCCTCGCTCGCTCGTACGACCTACGGTTACGGGGTCGTCGATCACTCACTGGACTTCCTGGCTCGCCACTCGTGGTGCTAGAGGACGGGGTGCCCAGGGAGAGGCCGCCAAATCGCGGAGTAAGCCGGTTTTCTTGCTGGATCAAGAGCCCCTTGAGGTTGTTGCGGAGGCCGCTCATAAGAGGGGTGTCGGGAAATTTGCTACCGCATCGTTGTCAACACCAGCGAATCAAACCGAGAAACGAGAGCTGAACGTACTCCTTGATCAAATCTTCCAATTCCCGGAGAAACGTCTTGTACTTGGCCAGACGGGTGGGAAGCGGCTCGTGAGACTCCTTCTGGAAGAAAGAAGAAAGGCCAAGCCATGTCCGTTTGTAGACCTCCCGGTTCGACCCTTTCTGCACTTCAATGTCGCCGAAGAAATCCACAATGTCCTCGAGTGTATACTTCAAGCTGGTCTGTACCAGATCCAGGTCTTCTTTGGCGACGGCCACATTACGTCGAAACTGACGATTCTTGGTGAGGTCATCCAGGCTTGTCAAGGATGTGCTGATGGAGTAGAGGTCGGCAATGAGACTGGTGATCTCCGTCGCATGTTCGGGCAGAGGATCGCGCAGCATACGGAAGCCAGCTGCTACGTCCTCTGCGTTGTCGGCCGATGTGCGCAAAGCCATTGTGAGGGATCACATCACTGGGCCGCGGCCTTTTCCTCGGGAAGGTGGGGTATGTTATATACGATTTGAGAAATGAGTCGGAATTGTGGTGCACAAACAGATGATGATCACTGTCGGGTTCAAATAGAGAATATTGAGATGAAAAAACATACATGCGGGGACCGCACAAATGGTCGCTATCAAAGTAGTGTGGAGTTACATCCAAGACCAGCACACAATAGAGTTGACTCAAGGCAAAAGAAAAGAAAAAAAAAAAAAAAGAGTCGGAGGGGCACCGACGACCAACACGGAAATTGAAGATCAGACTAAGAGTATTTAATTAGTTATGGGGTTATTGGAGAGCTTGCTTGTGTCGTGTTATCGGTGGGATCAGCCCTCGGATGCATGTCGACTTAGAGCCTCCTGTAGAAAGACGGAGAAATGGTAGAACAAGCTTCCATTACACTTCACAGCAGACAAAAGAAGCAAACAATCCTATCTCAAAAGAAGAATGAATGAAAGAGAAAGAAAAGGCAACCAGGATTGGACAAAAAAGATAGAGAACTTGGTATCTAGGAGCAGACAGAGGAAAGCCGGAACTGGAAGAAGCCTCAAGTGGGGCACAAGATCTGAGTCAAAAGTGAAGTGTTATACTGTTACTGTTAGACAATCAAGAGACCCTCAAGATCCCTCATCCTTGCACTTATCTAAGGTGGTTTCAATCAACCCTTTAGCGAAGGAGACAATCGACTTGCGGCTCCCTGAGTGACAGATAGTGACAGACAGCGACAGGAAGGAGATGCCCCCTCCTGGCCGTCTAATAAGGATCGTTGACGTGTTCGTGCAGAGGATAGCCCTGGCAGCCAATAATGCGCGGGGGAATCGCATACACCGAACTGAGCGGTGATGAGGGTTTGTAAGTGTGACCCCGCGAGAGGTCGAGATGGATGGATGGGGATGGGATGCTTCATGTGGCATCTTATCTCGAGAGTATCATCTCATGCCAGAGTATCCCTGTTTCATCTCCATTTCCAGTCTCGTCTAGGGAGTACGTAGATCATCTCACTCGGGCAGACCTTTCAACTTGTGTGAGGAACAAAGTTATGACCAACCTTAAACAACCCAAGTCTCTCTCGTTTCATGCAGATCACGAGACACAAGACTACCTAGGTAAGAGTCAGAGATCTAGGGCTGGAAATATGCTTTGACAAATCAACGCTAGAAGCACCTCTAGAAACTGCAGTATTTGTGTAACCCGTGCATCATGGGTTTCGCTTCGATTGCTGAGTTATGTACCATCTCTCGCTGGTAATCCATCTAGATCCCCTGACTGTGAAATCGGTACTTGAGAATGTATACACTACTGCGTTGGACTTGGAAGACAAGAGATGCTCCGTATCCAAGGCCTAACGAGCTCTCAGGCATCAAGGCATCCAACCCCGGAGATATCGGAGCTGGGACGCGTCGGTGCAACACGTAAACAAACGGTCCCCGCGTCATCCCAGGAGCTTGGGCCAGGTACCCGAGCTGCAAGATCTCGCTCATTTTTCAGACTCAGGCGTCCACTGTCAACACCCTCTGTGCAACCCACTCCACATATGACTGTATGTATTAGGACAACGGAACGATAGAAGAAGAGGGGAAGGATGCGGTTGATTAGCTACTAGATAGTATACAGCAGTTTTTGCTTGCCTCACACATCACTTTCTGCAGCTTCAGCTTCCGGTCATCACATAATCCCACCAGCCGGAACTCAAATAAGGCTGCAGTCCACCCTTATTCAAGTCAAATTCAACCCAGTCCGTAGAGTAAACATTTCCCATTGAAGATCCTTCATGAAGAACAGAAAAGCACGTAGAGAAACCCCACCGTCATCCCATCCCGAAAGCCGTCGGAAGCTAAAATAAAAAGGAGTATAGAGAGGAAACGCGACGAATACAACTCAATCAGAGTGAGAAAACGACTCAACAACGCCAATCGGTCCAGACACAAGAGACCTAGGTTTGAAAGAAGACAGCTTAAGAGGATTCCTCTTCGTCTTCCTCCTGAGCGGCCTGTGATCCCCACGTCTGTCAGCACGGTGCATTTCATAACACAAGATGTGATCACATACGTTGTAGCTCGCCTTCTCGTCTTCGTAACGCTTCTTGTCGGCGGCGGCCTTCTCCTCGTAGGGTCGGCGCTCGCTGTCGCTCAGGGCCTTCCATCTCTCTCCGAGCATCTTACCGACCTGACCTGCAGAGAAAAGTAAGCGATGATTTCAACGTCAAAAGTTTTAGCCAGTGTGACTTACCGAACGAGATGCCGGGGTTCTCCTCGCGGACCTTCTCACGGTTCTCGTTGGCGAAGAACATGTAGGCAGAAAGACCACGCTTGGGGGCATTGGGGTCTGTCTCACGGATTAGTTCGAAGCAAGGTGCGTCGGGGAAAGTGTAAGCACATACCCTTCTTCTTTCTCTCGACGCGCTTGGTCTTGGTGCGGGTGGAAGTCTTTTCCTTAGGCATTGTGGTGGTGATTGACTGCAAGAGGTGTTAGAAGCTGCCAATTGAGTCGGAGAATCAAAAAGAAGTGTGTCAGATGTAAAAGAAACAACAGAAAGACTGAATCGAATTCAGATGAGGAGGTCGAGGAAATGATGCTCAAGTGCGCGCAAGAAGCAGAGTGGTGCGGCTGCACTGTGGTGCGCGCGCCTTAAAAAACGCCCGCGGTCGCAAGTCGAGCAATGACACGAGAAGAGAAAATCGCGCATCCAGAGCTTACCTGAGACTTGATTCAAGGAGCAAGAAGATAGTTCAAGTATTGAAATCGACGATTTTGGCCTGCACTCGACAAATATCAGTTTGGGGCTGTTCGTTGCGTCTGAACTATATGATTGCGGTCGCGAATGCGCGACAGCAAGATCTCGCGGTCATGTTGGAAAAATCAAGCAAATGACGATCGCAGAAAGACGTTCTGAGATGGGAACATGTAGATGCAGAGAAAAATAATAATTGGGTTGGTGTTGTTGAGAAGATGTTTAGATGGGGGAATGTTTATAAGGAAACTCACCGATTCGGATATGTAGTACTTTTTTGTATGGGGAGCAGATTTGTATGGAGAGAATGGTAGAGGGAGAGTGAGGGAGTAAGAGAGAGAGAGAATAGTATGAGAGGGAGAGGGGAGAGTAGTAGTAGTAGGAGAGGGAGGGCAGCAGCAGAAAGGGAGAACGGGACTGCGGGCCACCACTCTGCTTACACCACTACTACTGGACTTTACCTACCTACTTTACCTCACTCACCTCATCCGCTTTGCGTCTGGCTTAGTTTGGTTGGAAGGGAGGAGGAGGAGCGGGGGGGCAGCACAGGCAAGGGAAAATCTACCTAACTGGCTGACACTGGGCTGAGAAATGAGCCGTATCGTCCCATACATGTCACGTACAGCGTTGCTCTGGTTCCCATTTCCTGCGACCGTCAGCTGTGGCTTGAGACTGTCCACTCGATATTTTCATAAGGATATGGTCTACAAAGGTAACAAAACTCTTTATTTTAACAAGATCCATTCTTCGACTCCGTATATCTTGACTTCTCGCGCGATAAATGTTCGCTTTTTGTCAATCCAGCAGCATCCCTGGGTTGCGCATCGCGCTGATGCAGAAGTATCGTCATCTGGGGTATTGTGAATACCATACAGTTTCCTTACGCCTCACTCATCCACATCCACCTCACCATCCTTTCCATCCTACTAGCTGGTACCACGATACGGAGTACTAGCAGAGGTACTTTTCTCCATACTGTGGATTAATCACACATACCTAAGCTACCCAGCTGTGGTACGGAGGACAAAGTAGCACATAGATAGTCGACCGTAGTAATAATTATTGACGGTTGATCAATTTCATACATCCATTGATCATCGAGATACGTATCAATGATCTCCCTCAAAGAAAAAAAAATAAAAATAAAAATAGGTTTCTTTGTATGAAATTCGATAGCTGTCTCTGGGTGGTCAAGCACTGCCGACTCTTTCAATACCTACATAATTCCCACTGCCTCTTTCGTCTATGTACACACACGGAGCCCGTGCCTCGGCGCAAACCGATCAATGCCCTACCATTATTGCTCTCGATTGGATTGTTTGTCCAGTATTATTTATCTTCTTGAATGAAGGGATAGATACAAGTTTACCTGTCAGTCTCTTGGACGACTGTTCTAACTTCTACCGGCAGAGAGTCCACTCTTCCTTCATTTACAATTTCATGCATACTGGCCAGTAGCATAAGCTCTGCACTCTTCCAGCTAGAGTAGGTAGGCAGTATCCCCATGTTGTGCACATTGTCCTTTTGTTATTGTCGGGGCCTGTCCCTAAATCTTAATGTAGGAATGGGTTTGCTTCATCTTAAGTTTCGCCCTACTTTATATAAAACTTCTGCATACTTGACTCTCTACACATCAGCTCGGCTTCAGCACTATCATCATGGAATCGCCCATTGCCCGATCCTGGCTCGAGTCACCACGGATACGCTTCAATGCTTTGTCAAATATTTATGCTACAAGTACCATAGGTGAAATTGTGAGAGACTCTTGCATGTGGAATATTCCGCAAGGACTCAGGCCTCAGACGTGCTGCACAATCCATCAGTTGGAATCTTGTGATTGAGTCCTAGACTTCGGTCTGAGTGGGAGGGAGTGTTGCCAAAGTACCAGACTAGCCAGCCACAGTAGGTAATGCCTTAATATCAACGGCTCACATAAACATGTAGCAGGTACGGAGCACTTCAGTGCCCTGGTAATGGTTATTACCCTACGCCGTACACTCTGCACGCCGTCTGTTTGCTGATTCATATAAGGATCTGGTTGAACGTCTCAGCCTTCCTGGATGACCGTTAGTCTACTTATCAAAGATTCGGACGCAAGGTTTAGCGAATCATTCAATACTGAGGGTCAAAAGTCAAGACCATAAACACATATAACTTATGATGCTAAATGGTTGGTCTTGGAAGTGTCATGATCGTCCACATCCTGTACGTAATTCCAGTACTCCGTACCTGTGGATAAATCCGGTAGTCTGCACATTACAAAGGATGGCCCGATGGGCATTGCATAGCTCAAGCTAAATGCCACTGCGTCCTAAGTTTACGAGCAAAACCTCAAAATAACCATACCGTCGTAGATCGTACCACGGAGGAGGACCTTACTCCCCGTAAACTCAATCTGATGGCTGTGGTATCACTGGTACGTACTATGGGGATAGTCGTCATAGAGTGTGTAGAGTGTGTCAAGTCTCACTTCGTTCCAACTTCCAGGTGGAAACACCGATCTTTTTTTTTGTTTCTCCACAGGAATAATACCTCTAGTACTACTCTGGTAGATAGCGGTACTCTACGCATGATCGCATCTATCCCAGCTTCAGTCGCTCCAGTGGGAAATGGTGACCCATAGCCCTGAGTCGCAGATAAACGCATGACATTCCTAGAAGCGTCCATATAATTGGCGCCCACCTTACCGAGTTCTAATTTCCACCATCTGTATCTGGGCTTTTCTTCATGGTTCCCTCGCTTTAAGACCAAGTTATGTATTATTTATGACTCTATGACAGGAATAATATGGTATGACAACGATTCTTGTTATGGGTGGAGGATGATGTCACGTGGGTCACACCGCGACTGAAGATTATTCCAGTGGCGCGTCTTCAGGCGACATACTAAGCGAGCTTGCGCTGCACCAAAGATTGATACACCGCTGTACACCACTATATTTGGAAAAGATTAGATGAAGTCCATCGCTAGAAGCTGTATCTTGTAGTACGCTAGTCGGAGAAGCCAATACAACCAAATTGATCGCGGAAAATCATTAATTCTGAGGCGACATTCTCCCTTCAATCATCAGATCCATCAAGGACAAGAGCTGTAAGCCCATCGTCTTCAGCCCAGTTCACTCCACTTCCCACAACAATAGCACTTGCAATGCTTTTCATGACTTCCCATCTCGATTTGCTCTTCTTGCGATCGGCCTCTAGATGATCAAGTTGTGCCTTGAGGTCATCATCGTCAAGTGCCTTTCTCCACGAAGAATCATCCTTTGTGGACTCCAGAAGCTGCCGGACTAGCTCTTGATTCTTCTGGTGTAGCTGTAGATTTTGTACTTCCAGATTGGATAGTTGTCTCAAAGTTGCGTTGTGCGCACTGATCAGATTCTCATGTGTCAAAGAAAGCACATCACGCCGGTTGACCAGGGGTAGAAGAGCTCTATGAATCGTTAGCTTGGGAAAGGCTGATTTTAAACTGCGCGCGCTTAAACTGAAAGAGATGTGGATTTGAAGAACGGAAAGGGAGGTAAAACCTTTCAGCAGGTGATGCAGCTTTCAGGTGAACAGCTTTTAATGTTGGATCAGTCATCAGGACAGTACTGATGGCTTTTCTCCTGACCGTATACGTCGCCCTTGCCTCAAGAAGCTCGCGTTCTGCCATTGCAAGTTGCTCATCCGGATTGTCCCCAGAAGCCGGTTCCAGGTCTAGAGAAAATCAGCGACCTGGACTGACAGATTTGGAGGGTTCAAAAAGATATATTAGATGAGAAATTATATGTGATACGTACCTTGTTCGAGAAGCGCCTTTTCCAGTTCCAGTTCCTGAATTTGATTGTAGAGCTGCAAAATCAAGGCTTCCTTGTCGGACAGGGACACCACATCGCGAGGGTCATCAGCCGCAAGATCCAGCAAGGAAACCTCACCTGGACTGAGGTGAGGCAGAGACTGAATCCTCGCAGTTGACATCGAGCAAGACCTCGTGGCAGGCCGAGACAAGTATCTTGTGATATCTCAGGTGAAGCTAGCTCGTAAGCTTTCTGGTCACTGGAGTCACTAACCAAAGTCCAACTGCGGTCGGGGGGGCGCGGTGGAGAATCCCTGGTTCCGGGGGGCTGTCACGGACTCACAGGTGCCTAACAAAGCCTAGGCTGGAGCTTCTCTGGGGAGCCTAGAAGGCTTGCGTCTACATGATCCTCGCCTTATCATCTTCCCCTCCTACATTCTTCACATCTCGACTCCTGAGCATCTGGGCTCAGTCGGTGAGGAGGGGATGTCTCTAAATATCTACATCGCTCACACCGGTGAGCGTTTACTTGCTGACCCGGTGTCATTTGCCTCGTATGTTGTCCTCCCACAAGTATACCCATGGCCGCATCCCTTCAGCTCGTCTATCTTTGCCCTCTTGTCTGATACGGTGCGAAAAGCTTACTGACACTATCCGTCTCGCCTAGTCCGGATGCACTTCGAACATGGATCGCCCGTCACACCTCGATACCTGCACAGAGGCAGATCTTGATGACTGCTCGTGGGAAGAACGTCAGGATACAGTCACTTGCCACCGAGGTACGATAAGATAGTGCTGTCTATTCTAACACCTCCGTATATCTTCAGCTACTCATTTATTTTCGATCAACAGGATGAGATTTTCGTTTATGACCGCCGATATGTTAGCGAGCCCGACAATGTTGAGCTCCCGGAGCTTCCTTCTCCCGAACCTTTCACCCCGGACAGTCCCCCCGACACCCTGGCCAACCAGAACGATCTACAAGCGTGGCGGAATCTTTACATGGCCAGACGGTCATGGGCGTTAACCCTGTCAGAGAGGTGTGGAGCTATGGACAAGAGCATCCACGAACACAACGAACGGACGGACATCATCAATCGGGCGGCGGGTGTAGCTCTCGAGAATCTGAAGACCCATGTGGGCAATTTGGAGAATCGGTTTCAAGAAGCTCAGACGTGGGCAAATGACCTGTTGAAAGAGCAGCAAGTTGCCCTGGATGGATGGCAGCGCGCGCTCGCGACACTCGAAAGCATTCCCGCACCAAAAGACTTCCCCTTCCTGGGACGTCCATCAACCCCGAAAAAGCACAAAGATCGGCCAACGGGGACACTTCGGGATTTCGTGGATACAGATGAGGTTCAAAAAGCTGGAACGGCGGCGTCGGCTGAGACTTCGCGCTTTGCCCGTCAAATTGATGATGTCGCTAAAGCTGTGAGTGGCATCACCGCAGACACGCAGCGCCTGGTCGACGACCCGATGCCATCAAGCGTCGACGTCATCGACGGACTGCAGGAGGTGATTACTATCGCGAAGAAAATAAGCTCCGACTATGAGCACGTTCTAGCTTTGCCGAACAATCAGAAGACATTAGCAAATATTTCCAGGCTTGCTCTGACACATACCCAAGATCTTCTCCCTTCAATGTTGGACACTAGTGCTGAGATCCATGCCGGGCTCGAAGAAGCCGTCAGGCGACATAATGCTGCAATGAAAGTCGCTCTCGACCACATGCGGACTATCTCGGCGATTGAACTACGCCTTGCTGATGTACAATCCCAGATTATCAACCTCAACGTCCAGAGCGACGCGTTTGATGTCGTGTTCTCTGTCTACCACATGCCCATGGTCTACGGCTCCATCTTAGTGGAGTCCGTGCGGCGTCGCGAGTTCAATGACAAGATGAAAGCCGATTCGCTGACGCTGGCCGAGGAGATGGCCGTCTTCAGGGATGAGGAGCAGCGTCGCAGGAAGAAATGGCTGAAGAGCATGGGTGATCTCATCTCCATTACAGAGACCACTACTCCGGGCGTCGAGATCAATCTGCAGGGCCTTGATTATGAATGGCCCGAGGTCAGTAGAACCGATATCGAATCATATATCGAACATCTCAAATCTCGGCCAGCCATGGCTGGTCTAGCCGAAGAGCTTACCCAACAGTACAAGGACTTGGATGCACCTACTCGTCACCAACGCCGCAGGGCAAAGGCTTTCAAGCAGGGCAGCATCTTCGACTTAAGCCGAAGCTCCCTCCTACTCCGGAGCGACGATATGCTGCGGAGTCTGAGGGACGAAAAGTCCAAGCTCGAAGAGAAGTTGAAGGGTTCGGAAAGCCGGATTCGAAAGCTCGAGGACCTGCTTCACCGCCAGAGCCAGCTCAGTCGGCCAGTCAGCGGAAATTTCAATCTGGAATTTCCCAGCTCTCCAGCTTCACCCCATCCCGATGCACTTTCTAGGCGTTCATCAGTATCATCGCGAAGGATGTCTGCAAACCAGTCTTCAGAGGACAAGGTGCTGGCGCAGCGAATTGTCACCCTTGAAGCAGAGCTGAATGCGGAGCGGGAGACAGTGCAGAGGCTCCAGAAGGAGGCGCACGCCGAGAGATTGTCGAATACCGATAAGATACAGGAGGCGCAGTCTACTAAGAAAGATCTCATCGGCAATCTTGAAGCCCGCCAACGCGAGTTCGATGAAGAGCGGCGTTATCTGGAGGGAGAACTGAAAAGGTACAGACATCGAACAGAAGAACTTGAGGAGGAACTGGATAGAATCACAGACAGCCGCGACCATGAGAAACAAGACGCCGACGAACGGATCAGCCAACTCGAGACTGAACTGCAAAACATTCATATTCACGCAGAGGAAGAGATAAACCGAGCAAACGATCTACTCGAGCAAATGCAGACTCGGAAGATGACGGAAGAGAGCCTGCAGCAACGAATCAATGACCTCGAGAAGCAGCAATCGGAGATCACAACGAGAGAGCAGGAGAATCTTCAGACCTTGCAGGCTGCATTCATGAACCTGTCTCCTGGGGGCGCTATACCAGCTGAGATTCCTGGCATTATCAAGGCAATTGAGGTGCTGTCAGAAGGGCTCTCGATTCACGTCAAGAATACCGAAGAAAACATGGCAGAGGCAGTAGCCGAGAACAAAGCTCTCGAAGAGCGTATGAATCAGCTGGAGGCCGAGGTTCAAGACGCCAGAAAGAGCGCGGAGCAACGCGAATCGGAACTGGCCCGGGTCAGAGGAGAGCTAGCACAGGAAAAGGAGAAGCTAGCCGCAGTGCAGTCTGAGCTCCATGATGAGAGGTCAAAGCTCAATGCTCTGCAGTCGCAGCATGCAGATGGTGGCACCGGCACAGATGCCTTGCGGCAACGTGTTGTAGAAGAGGAAAGGAAACTAGGAAGCTTGTCTCAGAGACTAGCTGAGGTCGAGACTCAGGCTCGCCAATCCGAGAAAGAAGTTTTCGCATGGAAGAACAAAGTCAAGGCCCTTTCGGAATCTGAGCAGCAAGCGACAGCTCGTATTGAGATTCGTGGCTCAAGAGCAAAGGAGCTTTCCCAACTGCTCTTTGAACAGGTCGAAAAGATGGAGCATATGCTCGAGCAACTGGGCTTCACCGTGACTCGGCAGGATGGGGAGATAGTTGTTCAAAGAGCGTCGAAAGTTAATGCTTCTTCTGGTGTTGGCGACAGTCTTACCCAGTCCGGAGTCGTCTCCGTCAAACCAGACGCCAGCCTTCTAGACTGGATGCACGCAGAGAGTGCCCAAGAGGAGACGGATCGGTACATGGCCTTTTTGGAGTCTTTGTACCAGTTTGATGTGGAGGTCTTTGGAGATGCGGTAGTCAAACGAGTGAAAGATATTGAGCTCCTTGCTCGGAAATGGCAGAAAGAGGCCAGAGGATATCGGGACAAGTACCACCGGATGCAGAGCGAGGCGCATGACAAGATTGCTTATCGGTCCTTCAAGGAAGGGGATCTTGCTCTATTTCTTCCCACCCGTAACCAAGCCATCCGCTCCTGGGCGGCATTCAATGTTGGAGCACCGCACTATTTCCTGCGCGAGCAAGATGCCCATAAACTGCAGACACGCGACTGGCTCCTTGCTCGGATCACGAAGATCGAAGAGCGTGTGGTGGATCTTTCGAAGTCCATGAATGGAGCCAATCCAGATCGTCGATCGTTAGGGGGAACCAGCGACGGCACTTCGTTCGACGACGAGAATCCCTTCGAACTGTCTGATGGTCTTCGCTGGTACCTTTTGGATGCAAATGAAGAGAAGCCCGGTGCCCCTGCAACACCCGGCCTGGGTAAAAGCACCGTTGCGCCGGCGCATGTAGATGCCCGAGGTAGCATTCGACTGCAGCGTACATCAAACGGAGGGAACGTTGCCAAAACTTTGACGAAGAGCCTGGACAGTCGGCGCAACAGCTCCAGCTCCAAGAAGGGACCATTCACAATCTCCCAGCGAGCCAACGAGTCTACAGCGGAACTCGCCCGGCCGGCCGAGGCGAATACCCCTGTCTCCCAGCGCACACAAGAGGCAGCTTCCACTCCTGAAGAGGTTCGCCGCGACCAGCTCCAGGGACCGTGAAGCATTCACGCGTCTCGTCTTTCTATTATTTTCTCCAGCTTTCGTGACTCTCCGGATTGGAGCTGACGGACCGTCATAGGGCACGGAGCGTGCGCATGCAGGTCGCCAGCCAACCCCGAGCTTGCAGCCGTCGCCGTCCCGATTAGCAGGTGAGACGGAGTCTTCCTCGCCAGCGCGGTCAGCGTCCAGTCGGCGTTCGATGAACAGGTATCGGCCTTGGGAGAAACTCTGGTACGTTGACTACCGATTGGAAAGCGGGAGCAAATGAGCAATATCTACACTATCCCTGGATTTGGACGCACGATTATGTGAATGGAGCGATTGATATTTGTCACGTCATGACATACGGATCATGCCCTGCTTGAGTGATACCCATGCGCTTGGAACACGATTTATTTTCTTTCCATTTCGATTTAGCCTATCCTATTACTATAACTCATAGATCAGAAACTACGGAATTTGATGATCAGATTACATGGCCCATAAGTTCCGGAACCCTATGCTCAACTATATAACCTTTATAGAAAACTCCGGTCCGTATGAAGGTACAAAGTACCAGCAGCGCTTTTCCACCAGGAAGCGCCCCAAAAGTGAATACCGCCTGATTCAATACTTTAATCAAGCTGATCAGCAAACCCCTCCATACCCCCAACTTCCTGCCAAAAGCGCGCAAAATCGACGTTCTCCTTCTCAAACAGCTCTTTTGCCTGCAGCATGGCGGACCGCTGTCTTTCCGGCGTGAAGCCGCCGGGCCGCGTGCTCTCGTACTGGATTAGCTCAACCCACCGGAAGAAGAGATCCTCCTTGCCCATCGCAGTCAACTTGTCCTTGAACGCCAGGATCTGGTCGCTCTGCGCAGACCGCGTCTTAGCCTCCACGGTATCCTCGTCTTCAACACGCCAGATCAGCCACCCATCCGCGTCGGTATTGACCAGCACCGCTGTCCGGAACTCGGACAAGGCGACGCGGTCGTCTTTCCGCGCGGGATCGACCATCTCATGCGCCTTGATCATGGCGTCGTAGTCCAGGTCCCAGTCCGCGTCGACGAGCAGGTATCCCGTCTTCCGGATGCGGTCGGGAGTCACGGCTGCGACGATCTTGTCGCGTGCTTCGTCGTTGTCTCGGATCCAGCGATTTCGCTCCAGTGTCTGGGAGAGGTTGCGCTGGCTGCGGCGGACGATGATTTCGCGGTCCTGGAAGCCGATTTTGCGGCGCCATTGCACGGGTCCGCGGGTGAAGCGGATCGGCCAGGATAGGAAGATTGTTATGAGAAAGTAGTCGATCATGAGGCTGAATGTGCGGCGGAGGATGATGCTGGCTGTTTCGGCTGAGGAGAGCCGTGAGGTGTCTACCCCCGCGGAGCTGGTGAGTCCGATCATCGTGGCGAGCATGGCGGGGTAGGTGTTACGGACCATGTAGATGCGGAGGGCGAAGATGGCGACGATCACGGCATTGATTATGGCGGGTATGGCGAAGGTCTGTTTCTTGAGGTCTGGCGCGGAGGTGTCGATGTGGATGAGGTAGACGTCTTGTGGTGAGAGCGGCTCGAGGAAGGGCCGGAGGGTGCCGGGCGCTTTGGAGAATGGTGGAAGAGGGCCCGCTTGCGAGCTGGGAGTTGAGGATCCGGAGGACGAGGCAGAGCGCGATGCTGATGCCTTGCCCTTGCCGGAACGTCGTGCAGACTTGGTCATTGTGATGTGCTCTTGTTGGAGTTTAGGGGTAATGCCACGGTAGAGTGTTCCCACGGCTATATATGCAAGATATTTCAGATGGTTCCCCTGTTATCTGGCAAATATTCTCGTCTGAATTCTCAAGCATCAGGAAGCCATGCGCATGGCACACGATCACCGCGATGATCAAGACGTCTGACCCGGTCACATGTCCGTCAGTAATAGGTCGATGCACACCAATGAAACGGAAGATGCGATGTTACCATGCATACCATGTACTTTCCAAGTTCAATAGAGCTGAATCTTGAATAAATAATAGCAACCGTCAGGTCCTGGGGCGAGGACCGAAGCTTGGTGTAATTTGTATAGAATCATCATTTCGAATTTCCGTAGAATGACGCTGTTGTTCTTTCTCCGCAGCGCTAAACCGCTTTGAGTCTACAGGACGGAACTCGATGTTGGAGTTTCGACCGCATTAATTGTTGACTTGCTGCTCACAATTTATCAGCTATCGCATTCTTGAAAAAGGAACGCGTCGTATTGTCGCAGAAATAGTGAATGAAGGGATTGTTGCCCATTCACTCGAGGGCCCCCTCTGTTTGTCGTCATGCCCACCCCCGAGCGCAACACCGACCGACTGCCATCGTCGCGTCGCATGCACGAGCAGCAACAGCAGCGCTCACCATTCAGTCGAGCTCGTGGTAATTCTCGTGCAGCTGAAGATTTTGACGCGTCCCGGATACCCACCCCATCCTACAAATATAACACTCAGCATCGGACGAATTTCAGTCAGACCAATACCTTAACAGGAGCGTTCAGGAAAGCGGGGCGCTACGCAACGATGGCAGAGAATGAGGGTATTGCGGCATCCGTTCCTTATTCGAGAGGGACGCCAAGTCCTGGAAGAAGGCGCCAGACTTACAATGCCCGGTCCCCCGAGTCGAATCCGCCGAACGAGCTTGCAGAGGCATATCGACAGATAGACGATGCGGATAGCCTGGTCGATCTAGATCCAGATGATGCCTATGGTCAGGAGGATAAGATTGGACGTTCATCAGGCTATTACACGCGAGATTACGATGTGTTTACGACCTCTGATGCGAGCTTTCTGAACGAGGTTCAAGACGAGTCACCCCGCCGAAGGTTGTCCGATCATATCCAGGATGAGCGGCGCTTGAGACGAGCCACGACCAGCCACTCCCCCGTATTGTCGAATCGCGGCGGCACTAAGAATGCCTTGACAGCGGAGAATCTTCAACGGCGCGAGGAGGAGGATCAGCCAGTCTCTGGAGACGATGATACTTTCCAGCACGGGCTCAATGTGCCTTCCACTTGGGGTAGCCGAGCGAAACGCAATACCGACTGGCTCAGGAAATTAAAGCGACGCGATGAACCCGAACCTGAACCGGAGCCTGAACCCGAGCAAAGGCCGGAGCGGCCTGTCAATGTGTCGCCGCCTGTGACCAAGTTCGATTTTGACTTCCGTACCAGCCCCGGCCGATCCAAGGAGCCGGCATCGAACAGGTATAGCAGGATCCCCCTATCAGACGCTCGAAACAAGTTGTCCTCAGAACATAAGGACGACAAGCCGATCGGAGGAAATCCGGAGCCTATTGCCAATACTCCAGTCACGGTCTACAAGAATTCCAGTTTCACCAAGCCAAGTCCCTCGAAGCGCGACTCCCATGACTTGATTCGCAGACTTGCGAGACGAGAGAGTCCTGACCAGAATCGAAATTCGGAGGAATTGAGGACACCCGAGGCACCAAAGGGTGGCCAGCGTCGGATATATGACAAAACCCCTGTCGTGACAGGCGCCTGGATAGACACTCCTATGACTGAGCGCGTTATCGAACGTACCACTAAGATGCCAGAGGAGCTCACAAATGATTTCAAGTCCCAGGTCGTGCCAAATGAGCCGAAACCCGTTTTTCCCGAGGTGCAAGAAGAGTCAGAGACCGAGGTCAAGAGACTCATGCAGGAGAGAGAACGGGAAGCGGATAGGAACAAACGAGAGCAGCAAGAGAGAGAGCCTGAGAAAGAGAGAGAGCGCGAAAAGGAGCGAGAGAAAGCAAGGATGGAGGAGGAGCAGGAAAAGGCGAGAAAAGAGAATGAAGAGAAGGCAAAAGAAGTGGAAAGACAAAGGGAGGAACAAGAAAAGAGTGAGGGACGAGAGCAGAAGATGAAACTACCACTCATCAAACCCGATCTGCCCAAGAGCGCCCTCGATTCGGTCATACAAGAACACAAGGCCGACAAAGAAACCCTCGATGTGGGTGATGATACGATCGAAAGTCTCCAGGAACTGTTGCTCGAGCAGTCTAATGAAGCTAAGGCCGACCCAGAGGCGGATGCCGCCTACGAGAAGTCGGTAATGGAAAGATTAGAGCGCAGCCAGGGCGACGAGGACTTGGATGATCACAAGATAAGCGAGAAATTGCTGTCGCTCGAAGAGAACCAGGACACCTTGAAGAAGAAGATTGATGGCGTTGAGGAACAAATGACACAAAATATGCCCAAGATACCAAAGATCTCTTCGCGTCCGACATCTTCCCAAGCTCATACGCAGTTGAAGCGCACCCGTGCGGGAAAGCCACGCGATACATGTAAGACATGCGAGACTTGCGGCGCACAAGATGACGGCCGCATCTATGCTGCCATTCCGCTCCCTCTTTTGTGGAGGCGAGATCCAATCTCGCGGCGTATCCGGATTACGCGACTAGGTTGGTGCCTCCTGCTATCACTCCTGTGGTTCGTTTCTGAATCGACCATGTGCGACTACTACTGCCATCCCACTGTTGCTCCCGTTTGCGAAGGGAACTGTCTGCGTCGTGATGCGCCGCGATTTCCGTTTGTGCTTCCTACGATGCTATGGCGTTGGTCTCATCTCTCTTCTGCTCTGGCACCAGTTGCGACACTTGGGATTGCGCTCATCAGGCTCCTAGCGCAGCTCCTGGGTCTCTGGGACGGGTATGTGGACGTGCCACCGCGGACACTCAACCTTTCTGGCGAGGTCCGTATCTACGGCACACGAATTACTCATTCGCCTGTGACCGCAACGGCTACTCCGGGGTTCTTTGCCAGGCAATGGCCGGCCAAGGAGATCAGATACACTTCGGAAGCTGTGTACAAGCCAGAAGCTGTTCCAGAGTCGAGGCTGGAGGAAGAGTTGCCTCGAGATGTGTGGGACGATGACTCGATGGACGACGACGAATTATTGTAACCAATGCATGAACTGGAGTCGGGGGTTTTTCTTCTTTTCATTTTATCTGATTTCATATAGTTTCCTGGCGTTGATGGTCGGTTTGTACCATGGCACAGCGGTTAGCGAATGGCGTTAAGATTCTGTATCTGGACATCTTGCTTGGTTCTCATCAGCTATCTTCATACCATCTATGATTGTGCTTGTCTGACAATCCTTTATCCTTCATCTTTTTGGGGGAACTAGGTTGGCCTAGGCGGGAATGATGAAATGCTGCAGAACGCCAGTAATTCAAGGCTTATCCGTGTATCACACGTAGCTGCGTTCAAGCTCACCATCCACTATATGGTAGATCTCGGGTTCATATGGCGGACAACCCAAGAACTTCCTCGATCAAATGGCAATTTCCGTGCTCATACAGGGGTATTAACCACAAAAAAGCCAGTGCACAATGACGGCATCTGCTCCAGAGTCTCCACCATTCATAAAACAGGCGAACCGAGGCATTCTAGTGTCCCCGCATAGTTGCTTAATTCTTGGAAGTTGAGATCCTGATCGACCCCTGGCGTCTGCAGAATTTCGTTTCTTGCTCCTCCCTTTCTTGTAAATAGTCGTTTTCATTCATTATTTGAGCAAAACAGCTCTCTTTTTGTATTCAAAGGTCTCGGTGATTGTTTGTAGGAGTTAGTGGATCGGTCGCCATGAGCACCCTCGATAACCCCGTCAACCTTGTGAAGGCGATGCTGGTGAGGATTCCTCTCGTTTTGAAGACGGTCCTCCTGCATGGAGTTCATATGTCCCCGGTCTCTGGGAAACAAGATCTTCGGACCGAATTGACAGTCGCCATTATCCGCTCGTTTATCAACTTCAAGATTCCCGTCAGCAAGCAGCAAAAGGGCAGTATGCGCGACCCGGGCATCAAGGGTCCTATGTGGGTGTCGAAGGTCACGTTGCCTCAGCCGGAGAATGATGTCCAGGATGCAGTCATCAAAGCGATTGAGGAGTTGAAGTCGGGGGGTGAGACATATGATATTCCCGGAGTTGGACCTGTCGAGGCCGAATGGACTGGGTATCGCAAGGGCGTGGGCAAGAACGCGCCACAGCCTGATATGTCGGAAGAGGAGAAGTACAGGAAGTTGCGCAGTGACGCAGATGCGGATATGGTCATCTTGTACTTTCACGGAGGAGCGTATTTGTAAGTCGCGGTCGTTCTGTCACGAAATGAGTGCATACTGATCGTTTTGGCAGTCTCATGGATCCGTGTACACATCGGGTCCCCGTATCGCAGCTCTCCAAGCACACAGGAGCCCCCGTTCTCTCGGTGCGATACCGTCTGGCGCCCCAGCATCCGTTCCCCGCGGCGCTGGTCGACGCCTTGGTCGCGTATCTGTCGCTCCTCGCGCCGCCCCCCGGATCGCTGCATGACCCCGTCCCAGCGAACAAGATCATCCTGGCTGGCGATTCCGCCGGAGGCAACCTATCGCTAGCTTTGCTTCAGACCCTTCTGACGCTCCGCCGCGTCTCCCCCACCGTCCGCTTCCACAGCGAGGACGTACGCATCGAGCTGCCCGCAGGCGTCGCGACAAGCTCCCCCTGGTGCGACGTCACAAGGTCCATGCCGTCCGTCGTCCACAACGCGCGCTACGACTACCTCGACCCGCCCACCCAAACCCCCGACACGACGTACGTCCCACTCCCCATCCCCGAAGACGAGATCTGGCCATGCAGTCCTCCCCGCGGCGACTTCTTCGTCAACGCCAACGCCATCCTGCACCCGCTCGTCTCGCCGCTCGCCTCCCGCGGTGAGATCTGGAAAGACGCCCCACCTATCTTCATGTCCCTCGGCGAGGAAGGGCTGACGGACGAGGATCTGCTTCTCGCGCGGAAGATGCACCGTGTTGGTGTGCCTGTGGTCGTGGAACAGTTCGAGGGCATGCCGCATTGTTTCGGTCTCGTTATGGTTGGCACGCCTGCGGGTCAGCGGTTCTACAAGGGCATGGGAGATTTCTGCCGTCATGCGGTGGCGGGCCGCGTCAAAAGTTCGGGGAATCTGACGCATATCGGGTTCAAGTTGCGATCGATGAAGGAGATTCCCTTGGAGAAGGCCGTGGCCTTGAGTGATGAGGAGGTAGATCGGTTACTGCGCAGGACGGCGAACTGGCGGTTAGAAGGTGAGAAGGAACTTCAACGGCTGTGGACCGAGAGGGCAAAACTGTAGTCCAGCCTGCAGAGTGGCGGCCTCTTGTCTGTATATATGACTTATACCCCTGCATATCCCGATTTCTGATTCACTTATGATTAGCACATCTGCATACGCTGCTTTGACTATTCTTCATGCCCCCTTACCGCTTCGCGGTTTTCAAAGGCAACTCGTGTGGGGACGAGACTCCATCGCTCATTGCCTTATCATCTCGTACTTCCCTGATACCGCTGCAAGAGCTTGAGATAAGTCATCCTTATGTTGCTTGTAATGGATCATAGAGATAGATGGCAAATTCCCGACCCTCATCCATCAAGGGCATCACTGGCACGATACTCCGGCGCAAGGATAGCCTCATCGAGCATGGGTTCGAGGAGAAGGCGATTTGTGAGTTACCGACTCGTAGATTCGCATGATTTACCGGCTTAGAGATTATGAACCGCTTCGGCTGTTGGTGAACCAATGGGGACATGTTTTCATGTGCTTGACTGGGGTGTTAAGCTCGTTAAGTGCATCAATGATTCTCCCTGAAAGGCTTCTCTCACCGGTCGATCCTTGATATACCAGTTATTGGAAACATCAGCTTCTTTCACCGGCAAGGTAAAAGCAAATCTTGCCTACATGCATCGACCAGGAAGGATGGATGCGACGACCACGGATCGACTAAGTTATTATCCACCTCGTCCTCGCAGTCTCGGGGCACAGAGCAGAGATTCTGCATCAAGCCAGATGTTTTGGTAGGCCACTTGAATCGCATAAGTCGGCCTCAGATGGTATTTGCCTCCAATCGAACCCCGGAGTCGTATTGCCGTGTCTTCTCTATACAGGAACCATATGTTGACTGCTTCTCAAGCAGATGAACACGCAGATAGTCGATCTTGATAGATCCTGCTGTATTTGTTGCTCGGGCGGGTTGGAGAAGATCATATACAACGAGCTGAGAAAGAAAATCAGGGGCAGAACATAGTCCTCCTGTGGCATCTGTGAAGAACGCGATGTTGACCGTTAATACATGCTTACACTGCAATATCAGAATCGTGAATAATCCCCCCTTAAGCGAGAGCCACACACACAAGGAGGCTTCTGAGCACTATAAAAACTCCTGCTCCCTCTGACCTTCAAGTCACCAAAAGCTTTTCCTCTTCTCTTCCCTTGGCTTTCTTGTCTTTTCATCCTCTCGGTCGCTCAGTTTTCCCTTCTCTTTTCTGGGGGGTGATTCCTCCACGAAAACCATGTCGCTTGCCTTCTGGGAGTTCTGTGATACACTCAGACGTCGCTACAAAGTTAGAAAATTCAGGCCATTCAAGATCATTACTGCAACCTACAAGGTTTCTGAAGATGGTTCTTTGACCATTCAGACTGATGTAATGATCCCCAAGTCTCTGCTCGAGGCAAAGCCTCTTGGAAAGGTTCCAGTCATTGTCCGAATCCATGGAGGGTTCCTGGTATGTTTTCATGACCTTCAAATCAAACACCTAAGATACTTCTTTTGCCAACTGCTTGACAATTGCAGGTCACCGGCCACAGCCGATACCCACCCTGGTTCGCGGACTGGATTCTGAAATTCGCCTCGAGCAAAGGAGCCGTCATCATATCGCCTAACTACCGCCTCCTGCCAGAGTCGTCTGGAAAGGACATCCTCGAAGATATGGATGACTTCTGGGCCTGGTTCTCCAAGGGCAGGGCAGATCTGTTGCTGAAGAATAGTGGGGTTAATATCAGCCTGGACCACGATCAGGTGCTGGCCATGGGCGACGGTGCTGGTGAGCCTCCCACTCTGCGAGGATATCGAGAACAATGGATGGACTAACTGGTTTATCAACAGGCGGTTACCTGGCCGTCCAGCTTGCCCTAAGCTATCCTTCGCAGATCCAGGCCGTAATTGCCGCATCCCCCATGTTGAACTTGAGATCGCGCTTCTATGCCGAGTATTATCGCAACAAATACATGGTAGGAATCCAAAGTTCAATGAAAGAAGTGGCCGAGCATTGCCTTTGGGCGTCACAACAACAGGATAACATGAAACCCACGGAAGGAGAACCTCCAGCCCGACTAATCATGGCATTTTCCATGATTCAGAATGGACAGTACCTCGGATACTTTGGAACCGAAGATCGTGGCCTCTTTCCTCTGGAGAGGGTGGAAGATCTCGCTGCTGCTGGAACCTTGCAATTTCCGCCACTGTTCATCTTCCACGCAGAGCAGGATTCGGCCGTGCCGATTGATGGCACCAAAGCATTGGTCGAGCTGTTACGTGAGAAGTCGCCTGAGACCAGGGTGATGCTCCATACCCAGGATGGTGAACACAGCTTTGACAGAAATGCAACCTTGGAGACTCCCTGGTTGAGCCGTGGCCTGGAAATGATCTCTCAGTTCTGGCTCAAGAACGAGCAGCAGCCGGCGGACAGTAAGTAGTCTGTGGCAGAAGCTCAACGAGAAGATGCCATGCTTCGATCTTGAGTGATACAGCTCACGCTATCGCAGAATGAAATACATAACCTGTTATTGAAAGCCATCTCTATGGTAGAACGTCTGTCATGCACATTCGGACAGAGCAAAGTCGTATGAATCGAGGTCAATCCTTAACCGTAGCCGTGGCTATCGATCCCTTCCATTCACTGGTGCAGTCACAGAGTATATCAAAGAAAAGCGGTTGACCGTCAAGGGCATCACCATGCTGCAAGCTTTCTAGGACTGTGCCATCCTTGGATTCGTATCATCAACTGTTTCCTGGTTGTGTACGGTCCAGGGATCTAGAGAGGACGAGTCATCGAAGCTCTTGGAGAAAGAGCTTCATAGCCTAATCAAGCCTCGTATACCCGATGGCCTCAGAGGAGCGCAAACTGAGAGAGGACAAGGCGTGTTGCACGTTGAGTTAGCTTCTGACTTAGAGCGGTGCTTTCGGTGTCACAGCTGTAGAGGTTGACTAGGTGTGGGGAGGGAGGTTGCTGTAGTAGTATGCCCAAGAAGTAGATGACAAGAGAGTGATCTGAATTGAGGATTTAGTCAATTAGATGACGAGAATAATCAGAGTGATATTACTGTCAAGTCGAGACTCGAGAATCAATAAGATAGATGCCTTAGGCACCCATAAACATGATAGGTTTGGAGATGCCTTGATCCCAGCCCCGCTAAACCGGATCCGGCAACGAACTGATGGTGTATCGACGTAATGGAAAGTGAAGCTCAACAGCCGTCCATGATGACGTCGTTCGGCCTACAAGATGGCCTGGAAAGGGTATATATACCAGGAGGCAAAGTCCTTGATCACATTCTTACTGGTCCTTCTACGCTCAGAAACATTCCATCCACCTTTATCACCTTAATTGTCGCCTATCAAACTACCTTCTGAATCAATCAATCATACAACCAGCACTACAATACAAAATGTCTTCTCTCGCACGCTTCGCTCCCCTGACCGCTCGGGTCGCTGCTGTTCGCACAACCACTCCTGCATTCACTGCTGTCGGCACCAGATTCATCTCCTCGACACCCAAGAACGAGAAGGGTCCTGTGGAGGCAACCAAAGACACATTGAAGAAGGCGGACAGAGTTATTTCTGATAATATTGTGAAGGGTATCGACAAGGGCGGTATGTGTTTGCCACTATGGAAGGGCCACAATGTATGCTAATGCGATGCAGAGCACGCGACTGAGAAGCTCAAGCAGACGGTGGGAAGCTCGACTGAGGAAGCCAAGCACAAGACTGAGGAAGCCAAGCACAAGGCGGAGGGAATGAAGGAGCGGATGAAGGGCGAGGCCTCGGAATACGCAGGGGAGAGTAAGGGTAAGGCCGAGGAGACTCTTGGCGCGACCAAGGGTAAAGCTAAGGAGGTATATGGTGAGGCCAAGGGCAAGGCAAAGGAGATGGGCAACATGTGAAGCGCAACTCAAACTGCGTCGGCGGAATGAGAGAATCAAAATAATGATAGAAGCCAAGGGTCAGATTGATGATCAACTGACGCACTGGATGGTTTCCTTTTTCACCGATCTCATGATGTTTAATAGCATATTCCATGACAAAGTACAATGACCACGTCGTTATGATTCATGTTCCTTGCTGAGCCTCGATCCTCAGTCATCGCGAGTAGGCCTTTTGTTATGATGTGAACTATCGTACAACCAACCTTTATGAATCAGATCATATCGTACTGTCAATCAATCTGGCTGAGGTAGCATGAGAACATATTCTCTCGAGCTCAAGCCAAACTTGAGGACGTCCTTGTCTCGCAATTCAAGGTAGCGCCCGGCTGGAATCGTATCCCCATTTACATGGGAGCCATTGGCGCTCTCCAGGTCGATGAGATACGGTTTGACCTTTCCGATTCGATCTCCGAATTCGTTCCTCTTCTCGACGAATCGAAATTGAATGGCCGCATGCTGCTTGGAGCAGCTAGGGTGATCCAGCGGGAAATCAACCACAAGGCGCTCTCTTCCGATCAACCAGCAGCTGCGCTCTCCCAGCTCCACTACCTCGAGTAAATCTTCTCCTTTAAACACGTAGAGTCGCCAGGGTTCTTTCGCAGGAGGCTTGCGCGCTTCCGGGGGCTCATGGTACTTGAGAACAACCGTACCTCCGTTGACGTTGACAGTATTGGTTTCAGCAGCTAAGCGACCAGTGTTTCCAAAATTGGGTTTCTCCTTTTCCGGCGGCGGTGCCGATGATTCCCCTCTCCGCGCAACCTCTGATGATGTATATGCGTCGTTCTGAGAAGGGAGGGGAGCCTTGGATCGGGGAAGGGCCCGCGACTCCGGGCTTCGTGAGCGTCCAGCTGGCGAGTGAGAACGCGATCGGCTTCGATATTTTCGCGAAGATCTCTCTCGATCGTCGTACGAGTCTCGGTCAAGGTGACGGCGGTGACCTCGTTCTTGAGATGGGTACCTTCGTCTTCTGCGACGATCATCTGATTCTTCCCGTCTTTCTCTGCGGTCTCGACGATCACGGTTATAATCTAGTTGGTGGCCATCTCTCCCCGGCGGACTGCGGGAAGACCGTCTTCTGGAGCTGTCTCTTCGAGAACTTCGATGGTCATCGCGGCGCCCTTCGCGCGTACGCCGTCGTCTATCATTGTCTCTGTCTGAAAGTGCAGATTCAGAAGGCGACCGGCGCCGTCTTTTCTCGCGGTAGTCTTCTTGTGATCCAGCCATGGTCAGTCGGACTGCCGAAACGAGTGATCATAGAGCAATCCATAAAAGTTGTACCCGACAGATGAGGAAAGTAAGGGAGCTATGGGTCCCCCCACGTGACCCATCGCTGGGAATCGGGGAAGATTGAGCATCTTCATTCGATCACAAACCGACAGATTATTGAACTGAGATTTTATCACTGCATCATTATCTATCTTTACGGAGGAACATGCTGTGTTCTCTCCTTTGAAAATGCGGCCGCCATGCTCAAGAAACCCAATACCCTTTGCTACGGTGGTCTCCAACTGCTGATTCCGTCCTCTTCCTCCCCGCCACCCGCCTCACGCTCGGCCAGAGGTCGACCATGGTGCTTCCCGTCCCACAGACTATACGCAACTGCACACGAACTTCATGATAAGGATCTTTCATGGCCCGCCTCTTCGTGTTTCACGCCCTATGATGTGTTCAAACAAGACCGAGGCGCTCCATACTCGAAGAGCCGCTTCTACGATTTGGTGAAGATCTACCACCCGGACCGACCGTGCAATGATCACCCGCTCTGTAGACACCTCACACCTGAGGTGCGACTCCAGCGGTATCATCTCATCGTAGCAGCTCATGAGATTCTATCGGATCCAACGAAGCGAGCAGCCTACGATCAATTCGGTACCGGCTGGAGTCTCCATCCCTCACGAGGACCCCACACACAGTCCTCCTGGTCCAGAACAGCATCGGGTGACTACCACCCTATCTACGCCAATGCGACATGGGAGGACTGGGAGAAATGGTATAACCGCCATCAGCCGAAACAGCAACAGATCGTCGACCATCGGACCTTTGTGACGTTCATCTTTCTTCTGGTCCTTTTCGGAAGTGCTGTGCAAGCCTCCTGGATTGGCCAGCTGAGTACGGGGTATGAGGAAAGACTTCGGGGGCTCAACGAGGAGTCGATGCGATTACTTACTGGGCGAAGGGAGGCTACCGTCAAGCAAATGGGATCATCCCAGGCTAGGGTAGAGCATTTCCTGATACGGAGAGACCCGTCGGGATCAGGGTTGAAGGAGGAAGAGCAACCAGTATACGAAAAGGTTCTTCATTCTCGTAAGAAGACACCCGATGCCCCTTTGGAAATCGAGGATCCGGGCCCTCCGCACTCTCAATCTGATGGTACCCAGAAACTGGTCAAAAATTCCTGATGATTGCCTGTTTGCAAGTGTTCAGTGCCTTTGGTGCGACTGCGCCGCATGAGGCAAATCTCAGCTATCGCAAGACTCACAAGTCTATTTGCAGTATACGTTGTCCTGGCAGCTTCATCTGCTCTGTATAAGCATTATTCTTACTGAATGACAAATTTCCCCTTTTCATTGAGAGGTTTTGATGGATAACTCATCTGCGAATCCGTCCAGCTCAAGTAAGGTCAAGGGGATTGAATCCGTAAGCCCTCTAGGTCAACGCTTTAATAGCAAAGGCAGCAAGAGGTTGTTCGGATATTGTCTATATTCGACCTACATTGAAACGGCTCTTTTCTTGCTACATACCTGCAGTATCTAACCCAGCCACATAGCACGCCTCGGCGTCAATGACCTGCTTCATTTTGATGATTACAGCCTGTCCCTGAACTGGTCTTGTAGGCGTTGAGCCTATGGGCTAGTACAGGTCAGTATGAGGACGACTTTCCCGTTGGACCGAGGTTTCTTCATGTGCTCGCGAGTGAGAGCTGCAATGTTAAAGCAGATGTTATGTCTGGTACGCCTTTGAACCATGGACCGCGCTAGAGCAGGTCCGTAAACCATTCTGCTGTTTGCAGAGCTGGTGATACTCTTGATGCATTAATTAGCGAGGAAATAAGTCACGGAATGGCATGTAGTCTGTTACGGTTCAGTGAGAGGCGTATTTAATGCCCTAATCGCCAAGCATATGCTTTTATGCTATGAATTATTGTATTGAGGCTTCTCGGACATAGAAGGCGACACCGGCTCCGTCAGCGAGACCGGAATATGGTTCATGGTAAGGATGATGTCTGCCTTACTTACCGTCTCGACTAAGGGTCAAGAAGTTGTCAGTGACTGAATAATATCTTCAGCATCTTCTCCATCTTTTAGCACCCTTCGAGATACTTGGCGAAGAGGTGCATATCAAACCGTTTGACAAGAGAGATCGATAATTTCTTCAACGCTATGATGTGCGCTGAGTTTCCTGATCCAGCATTTACCCACTGAGGTTATTTGCACACTTTCACATGACTCTGCTGGGTCTTGATGAATACTATCACGAATCGATCGGTACTCCTCACTTGTGATATATTCCTAGGCTCTCGAATTCATCAGCCTGAATCCTATCTAAGCTCGTTTCAGCTTATTTGTCTCAATCAGACCAAGAAACAGATCCAACAGTCACATCTATCACGATGACATCCATGGGCAAAGTCTTTGCTGGCTACGGCGCACGACAGGCCGTACTTGAGGCCAGCAAAAACCCCTACACCCAGGGAATCGCTTGGGTAGAAGGGGAGCTCGTCCCTCTAGCTGAAGCTCGCATCCCGCTACTGGACCAGGGCTTCCTGCACAGCGACCTCACCTACGACGTCCCCTCCGTCTGGGACGGGCGCTTCTTCCGACTGGACGACCACCTCAAGCGTCTAGAGGCCAGCTGCGCGAAACTCCGGCTCAAGCTCGCCTTACCCCGCGACCAGGTCAAGCAGATCCTGGTGGATATGGTGGTGAAAAGCGGCCTCCGCGATGCCTTTGTCGAGGTAATGGTAACGCGCGGACTGAAGTGGATTCGCGGCGCGCGGTCCGAGGAGATCGCCAATAACCTCTATATGTTCGTGCAGCCCTATATCTGGGTTTCGGAGCCGGAGGAACAGCGAGGCGGTGGGGGGCGGGCTGTCATCGCGCGCACGGTGCGCCGCGTGCCCCCCGGTGCCATTGACCCGACGATCAAGAATCTGCAGTGGGGGGATCTCATGCGGGGGATGTTCGAGGCGACGGATCGGGGTGCCATGTACCCGTTCCTGACGGACGGTGATGCGCACCTGACGGAGGGTTCCGGGTTCAACATCGTCCTGGTCAAGGATGGGAAGTTGTATACCCCTGACCGTGGGGTGCTAGAGGGCATAACGCGCCGCAGTGTGATGGAGGTTGCGAAAGCGAAGGGGATTGAGGTGCGGCTTGAAATGGTGCCGGTCGAATTGGCGTATAACTGCGATGAGATCTTTATGTGTACGACGGCGGGAGGCGTCATGCCTATCACTTGGTTGGATGGGAAGCCGGTGAATGGGGGAGAGGTTGGACCAGTAACCAAGGCTATATGGGATGGCTATTGGGATATGCACTACGATGACAGATATAGCTTTGAGATTAAGTACAATGATTAGATCGGAGCTATGCATGCCACTGGAAGATATCCACATAAACGTCATCGATTCTGTCGTGCATGATCTTTGAGAGAAAATACACAATTTACTTCAGTATACAACTTGAGCATAACATTGCAGCCGGAACTACAAAAGTCTGCGCCGGAGCAAGTGTTGAGTGCTTGTATGGATAATGGACCTTGAAATGTCTCCACTGGGCAGTTGAATATATTACTCTAAAAGGCAATTTACCCAGCACGCGCGGGCTCCGCTCTGTCCCGAACGAATCATCACCACAAACGTGATCGACGCCGGCGAATCATCGGACAATCATCTCAGCATTCAGTTGTACAACGGCGCATATATCCATCAGATCAGAGCCGACCTCGACTTGTTAAATAAGCAAGCTAGTTGAGTTGTCTTCTGAAAGCCACCTGTCTCCACCTCCAAGTATATGAACTCAGCCTGATCCCCAAACTGAACCCCAACAACCACTTCATACACACGGCAAAACCAGGCCGGTACCCAACACGACATAATGGCCGCCACCGAAAAGCGGCCCGAGATCATCGCTCTCGCCCGCGAACTGAAAGATGTTCCCATGTGCGAGGAATACGAGCGCATGGTCTCCGGCATGATGTACAACCCCAACACCCCCAAACTGCTCGAGGCCCGTCACCGGTGTCGCGGGCTGGCAGCCGACTACAACAGCCTGGACACGAAAACGGTGCCCTACGATCAGATCTACGAGAAGAGGATCGAGCTGCTTCGGCGCGTGGTCGGCAAGGTGGGCGACGGCACCTTTATCGAGCCACCGTTCATGCCAGACTACGGATGCAACATCATCATCGGCAAGGACTGTTTCGTCAATTGGAAGTATGTATATGTCCATGTCCATGTCCATGTCGCGCGTCGATTCGTCGTCTCCGGTTGGATACGCTGGATCAAAACTGACAGTATCAGTCTCACTGTCCTGGACACCAGCCTCGTCGTCATTGGGGACCGGGTGCAGATAGGAACGAACGTCAGCATCATAACCGCCGGCCACGACACGAGTATCCTGTCGCGGCGGAAGTTTGTGGAATTCGGCCATCCCGTCTTCATCGAGGACGACTGCTGGATTGGCGCGAATGTCGTGATTCTGCCTGGCGTCAGGATCGGGCAGGGTTCGACGATCGGCGCTGGCTCCATCGTCACCAAGGATATTCCGCCCTTCTCCGTGGCAATGGGGAGTCCATGCCGGGTCAAAAGGACGATTCCTTCGGCGGAGGAGGAAGAGCAGGATGAGACGAATCCGTTTCGGAATCTGGTGCGCGAGGATCGGTAGTGCTTGGTAGTCAGGGTCTAGGGCGATCATATCAACTCAATTGAGGATTGCCTTGCCCCTATGATGCTGTGCGAAGATATTGACATGTAGCCCTCAAAGCCAACCCATCTACAGCAAGCTTTGCCTTGATAAAGATTCTATCAATTTGTGCTCTGTAGGGAGTCTAGAAGAGTGAGACGAGCATCATGATAGTGAATAAGGGAGAATCCTCCCTTAAGTGACTGAGCAGTCATACAAACTGAATAGCTAGAGTACCTTAGGATTGACCAAGAGGTATAAAAATATAGAAGGTCCTATGACTCATAACTGACTTCGCACTCAACTCTGGTACCTCAGAAGTGCTGCCTACGGGGAAGTCTGAGTGCCCTGGGCCGCTGGGGCAAGAAAGCTGGTTCTAAGTATCATTGCCTCAGCCTACCTACTCCCTAGTAGGCACTAAGGTAGGCACAGAATGGGGCTGTGGATTATGGGAGCCCGGGCGGCCGTGGATCCACAAAAGTACAGTGGACCTTTGACAGGTACTAGTATCTTATTTTAACCCCTACAACTAGATAAATTCAAGCATCCATAATGATAATACTCAGCCGCTGCATCTAGGGCTGGAATCTGACTGGCGGATCTATCTCCAACGCAGGTGCCCATAGGTAGGGGAGCGCTTGCATTCGGCAAACCTGACAGCTCCTGTAAGTAGGGTATTGCTTTATACTGATAAGTTATATCTGGTGATAATAGGACGATGGTATACGGAGTAGAGGATAATGGATACCTTGTGATAAAAGTGATGGTCCTGATAGACACTAAGGTCCACTGTACGGAGGGGCTATCCACAGTGGCTCTTGGCCCGTACGGTCCTACACTAAAGTCGTGCTCACCAAATCAGTACATCTTCTTCCCTCCTTTTATCTCAGCCACGTCTTAATCTTGATGCCCTCCATTCTTGTCTGGAAGAGACGGTAAGTTTTACCTTGTGTCGGTAATCGAATTACTACCAGTATTTCCAGATCGAAGGAACCAATTCAGCGAGCATTAGTGCATAACCTGGGTTACAGAAAGCCTGCCAAAAGAATCAGCAACTTATTTCAAATTGAACAATCAAAGTCGATGTCTGAGGATGCATCCAGTACCAAGGTTGAGATACGCAATCAGAGGCTTCAGAGTTACTCTGAGTCATGGTATATGCAGGTCATGGGAGAGAAACAGGGCAGTGTCTGCAGGGAACACAGTACCAACGTTACATGACACGCTCTACTCTGTGCTCAGTTACTACCTCCAGAAAAGTAGAGTCATACTCAATTCTGGTTCTCCTGATTATCAGCCAGATACCTTACTGTCCGGTACTGCCAAAACTGAAAGCCACGTAGCATCAATTATGGGTACCTGCGTTGAAGATAGATCCGCCAGTCAGGTTCTAGCACTACATACTAGATGCAAGTAAGACGCCCGGAAGTGGCTGAGGGTTCATACTAGAGGCATTAATATTATTATTGTGCTTGTTGGTGAGAAATAATGGACCCATCTATTCTAGGCTCTCTCTATGCCCTAGGCAGCTAGGCTCCCCAGGAATTCCTCAGGACTATTAAATAGTACCATGGATTTCTCAAATATCTGTACCATGAATAATCTTTATGACTTCACCAGCGAGTCTCTACTTTATAACCCTATTCAAAATGTATATCTATTTTATATGGTGTTTTGCTAAGCGAGTGGATGCCTTAAGACTTACTAGCTTCGCCTCCCGCGCGGGAACCAGGGCTCTTTGCCCCGGTCCTCCAGGGCACTCTCATATCGTCCCTGGTACTCTAGTAGGCAGCACTTCATGCCTGGCGGGTGAAGTCAGTAAAAAAGGTACGGAATTTTCGATCCGAAAGCAAATTGAAGATGAATGACTCTTTACCTTACGGGGTCTCCCATGACCTGCCCCAATCAGGACCGTCAGCCTGATCTGCCTCGGGGCTGTTCACGGGAACGGGACTCCCAAATGTGACCAGGATCTGCCATCCGCAGGCACCAGGACGGTCCTCTTTACTTCTTAGGTATTAGTGATAATGATCTATTCTTCAAGGGTCAAGGCTGGTCAGATCGACAGCCTTGCCGGCAGTATCTATCATCTGGCCCTACCCTCAACCACCTATCACAAGAGCTTTGCTTACCTTCACAATCGGCGCGGCAACAAGAACATAGCTGCTATTATATTTAAGATGGCCTCCCCCTCCGCCTGCTCCTTCATCTCCCCTCACTCAACTGTCTCCTCTCATTATGCCCCTTTTTCACCTCCATCTCAACACCATCGAATCTCTTTAATGATCTTCTACACAATCAATGATCCCTGCGTAATCTTGCCCTCGAAAACTCACCCGTCTGATACGAGCTAGCTAGCTAGCTAGTCCACCTCGACTCATAATGACCGACTGGGCTGCCAAGGTCAAGACGATCGGTCTCACTCAGGTCTATTGCACCAAGGAGAAGCCGCTGGTCGACATCGTCTTTGTGCATGGACTCAACGGCCATTCGTACAATACCTGGTCCACAAAGGACGCCCGCGTTTTTTGGCCGGCAGATCTACTGCCCGGAGTGCTCGAGCCCTGCAAGGTCCGGATACTCACTTACGGCTATAACGCCAATGTGGCTTCCTTTACGGACGGAGCATCGAAGGACCACATCCATCAGCATGCCGAAACCCTAGCCTCAACCCTAGCTGCTAATCGCAATGTAAGCTACCTACGTATTGTCCCTCTACCTTGATCTCGCTAACTCGCTGATTCCTAGCTTCGCCAATGTCCGGATCGGCCCATCATCTTTGTTTGCCATTCACTGGGCGGCCTCGTCGTCAAACGGGCCCTGATCCACTGCAGGAGCGTCTCGAATGAAAAGATTGAGCACCTTCGATCGGTCTTCGTCTCCACGTACGGTATCCTCTTCCTGGGAACCCCACACAACGGCTCGGACGTTGCGAAATGGGGCCTGCTACTGCAGAACATCTGCAGCGCCGTGCTGCCAAAGAAGGTCATGGAGTCTTCACCGCAGCTCATCAAGGCACTGAGGGCCAACAATGAGACGCTCCAGAACATCAACAGCCTCTTTGCCGACATCATGAGCCGTTTCCATCTCTATTTCTTCCACGAGACTCGATCCACGGACGTCAAGGGCACCCGTGAACTGATTGTGGATGAAAGCTCTGCCGCTCCTTACTTTGAAGGCGTCGAGCGCATGGGCATCGAGGCGGACCACAGCCATATGTGCAAATTTGAAGATGAGGATGCCCCCGGCTTTGAGGCCGTCGCTGAAGCTTTGCTCCGATATTCGCGTGATGCGCCCTTGACCATCTTTGATAGATGGGTCGAGGAAGAAAAGACCCGCTTGGTCATCCGGCAGACCAAAGCGAAAGAAATCTTCAACAACGGTATGTCCATGTATCATGTGCAAAGAGCCATAGCCGTTACTCATTTTAGTATAGAAAACGTCAGCCCGTCAGCCAGCATGCACAACGTTCAGACACCTGGTAGGAATCAACCTCTCCTTCTTTCGCCTCTGTCCTCTGGTTCTGTTACCATGCGGGATTATGAGATTGAGGAACCTGCAGATACTTGAATTATGAATCGTTGGGCTCGCCATGAGAGCAATCTCCTTTTCCCCTTCTGAACTCATACTCATCCCCAGCATTGGAAGGTCTTGAACCAGGAAGCGCGCAGGCCCTTCGTTCCTCCATGCCATTTCCTGCTCCTGCTTCCAAGCAACAAGCGAGATTAGTCAGAAGGGGGGGAGAGAGAGATGCAATGAAAGAAAACAAGAAAAAAAAATCCTGCTTTACTCGATTGCTTTGCTTTGTTGACCTTACGGCGCTTGAAATATTGCTTTTTCCTGTAACATAGTTATTGCTGTGCCAAACAAGATAGTGTTCTCAGTCAGACCATTGCTGACTTTCTGTCTCTCTCTTAGAAAATCCCGCAAATCGACCTGCCTTGAAAGGAGGGGGTGCTGATTCTCCCAATCCCGACCCATCCAATAGCACAACGCACCTTGCCTTGTCACGATCATCGCTGAGAGAGCCGCTATTTGTGGTGCCAGCAGGCTTCCATCCCAATGCCACGTTTGTTGGCATGACCAAAGAGCTGGATATCTTACACGCTCGGTTATACAGAGCTAAGAAGCGGGCTGAGCGCCTTGCAGCCGTCTTGATATGCGGTGGGCCTGGAGCCGGAAAGTCTCACCTGGCAAGACAATACGTGTGGACTCAGCGCGACTGCTTCCCCGGCGGCATATTCTGGGTGGATGCGAAATCACGAGAGTCGACATGCAAGTGCTTCTGGGACATCGCGCAGGCAGCGACTCTAACGGACGAGCTTGAATTCGAAAGCCCCGACTTCAAAGCACCGCAGAAGTATGTAGAGGTGGTCCGCAACTGGCTCCAAGCCCGAGAGGAGTGGCTCCTTGTCTTCGATGGTCTCAGCTTCGACCATGAAGATGACCTGAACCATTTCAAGCAGTTTTTGCCTTTCAACAGACAATGCAGCATTATCTACACCTCGGTGGATCGAACACTGCGGAAGAAACAGCGCCTGTATGAGCCTTACTGCCTTCAAGTCCCCCCTCTGTCGGTCGAAGATGCGTGCAAGCTCTTGTTCAAGGATTTGGGAATCAAGAGACCCACCAAAGAGCAGGTCCGCAAGGCAACTGAACTGGTCATGCACTATGAGTGTCTGCCTCTTGCCATTCATGCGATCAGTCACCGCCTCAGTGCGACGTCCAAGCCAATTGAAAGGTATCATATTAACTCGCATCTAACCGATGAGAAGCTTGCGGAGCCCTTCCTTAGTATTATGCACGACCTCTACCGGATGGGCCATTTTGAGGCCCTGAACCTGATAAATCTCCTCTCTTTCCTTGGACACCATGTGCCGGTTGGGCTGATCAACCTGGGCAAGTCAGTTCTGGAGACCTGGAATGTCGAAATTCTCACAAGCAGCAGGCCCGGGGAGCGCGGGGATATCGACACCACTCTAGGAATTCTAATTCGGTACGGTCTCATCGAGAGAACGTCCGATGCTTATGTCCTGAAGGATCTCTCCCCGCAATCCGAGAAGGAACTGATATTCGACCCCAGAGCCGTGGTGCCCGAACTATCAGAGTCGCAAACGGAGAGTAGTAGCCAGGAGGCCAGCTTCTCCGTCTACCAGAATGCGGGTTCGATCGATGTCATCAAGATCCATAGCGTGGTTCAGGGATTCTGCCGCGACGAATTGAAAATAATGGATGAAGAGCAAAGGAAGCGACCATCGAGGCTAGAGCCTCGACCAGGATCTGCGGCCGGATCAGTGCCTGAATCAGGGTCAGGCTCTGGAGCCGTCAAAGCCGAGGCCGGCTTCTACGAATCATGGCTCGTTGTGGCCATCCGCCTTCTCTGCAAGTCGTACGAGAACGCGAGAAAGCGCATGGAAGAGGTAGACGATTATGGCCTGGTTAAGGATTACCGCGAATATGAAACCCATGCATCCCGGTTGATCGAGAACTTCCCCAAACGGGCATCAAAAGAGAAACTCGTTCAAGAAGCGCGTAACGAATTGAAACAGCTGATGAGGAGTATCTCCAACGAAATCGAACGCCTGTCGCCGCATTCTTCGCAGGACTCCATTCGCAAACACCGGTCCGTGTTTGATAGATCAAGCAGCTCTTCATCGTCCGTGCCGGATTCCGATGAGAGCCCGTCGAGGCAACTGACATGGGATCTCGGCGATGAATCGACCAAGGTTGAGTCACCGAAGGAGCTGCCCGCTACGGCGCACCGGTTCAACCTGAGCCCATTTCTCCCTCATATTTTTCGCGAATCGAGTAACGAACAGGAGGCTGACAGAGCCAATCGGCAGAAAATGGAAGCGTCTTCACTCTCGCAGATGAGCCAGGCAACGGAAAAGCCATTGAATGCTCCAAGCCCGCCCCGTGACGATCAAGGCTGGCAGGTGGTAGAGAAGCCGCAGAAACCTAAGCCTGGGAAGGAGAGGCAGCCCAAACAGCGCTCAAAGTTTCCAAACCACATCCACGGCTCCAGACCGGCAGCTCCCGTGCTCAAGGTATTCCCTGTTGAAGGGAGGAGCGCGTCAAGCAGTAGCATGGAGAAAGGCCGCAGTAGTTCTTCCGTCTCTGCCACAGAAGCACTGACATCAGTGCAGAGTGCCAGCCCTCGCCGATCTTATGAAGATCTGCCTTCCGGGCAAGCTCATCGAACATGGGCCGCCGTTGTCGCCAAAGCCAAGCGGGCCGCAGAGGCCAGAACCGCTCCTTTGTCATCACCGAAACAGCGGCCTTCGTCGTCACCTGGGGAGGAGAATCGCCCGGGTTTGCTCGTCCCAAAGCCGTTGGAAGGCAAATCTTCGGATGAAGCGTTGGAAACCAGTATCCCACAGCTACGCTTCCAGGAAGACCGATTGAGCCGATCCACTTACAGTGAGCCAGGCCCAGGACTTCTCACACAGCAGCTGAACGCACTGGACTTGGGAACTGCACCGGATCCACGCCACCACTACCGTCAATTATCCACGTCAATGGCAGCGGCGCCGTTGAGGGACATGTCGGCCAGTACGCCGTCGATTCTGACATTTCGCCCACAGCCACTCCCATATGAAAATGACATCGAAATCACGGTTTCACGGCGCTTGAATGCGAGCACCGTGCCGGCCCCGCCGCCTGTCGGTCAGTCGGCCGCCACTTTCGGCCCAATCACCCCCTTCCAGCCTCCCCACCATCCAGTCACACACCCATCTGCCATCATGCCAGGTGCCTCGCCACCTGTTTCGATTGTCACTGATGGAGTCGGAAATGCTGGTTACACATCCGACCCGCCTCCCGCTTTGGAGCCATTGTCACGAGGGCCTTCGGGGCAGTCTTACCAGTCCTGGTCACCAGAACCAGAACCAGAGCCCATGCGCCTTCCACCGCGGCTCATCCCCATTCCATCCAACTCCGTGGTCTACATGCCGCAGCAACAGACGCTCTCTGGGACTGGCGGCTGGATAAGTGATGTGCAGCAACCAGTAAGTCTGGGAAGCGTCAGCTCACCCGAAGACCAAGGGGTTCTGCACTTCGGTGCCCACCGAGTAGATGTGCGAGACGCTCGGCAGAGGCTTGAAGTGGGCGGCGGGGGCTATCAGGTTTCCGGCGCCGCATGGCAACTATATCACTCGAATAGATCGGGTCCTCTCATCCGACAGAGTCAGGATGCTTTGACTGGTGCAGCCACACAGGGAACATACATTCGACGAGCACGAAGTGGCAGCTCCCCGTTGCACCCTGACTTTCAAAGCCGAGTTGGAATCTGTAATTTGATTGGGATGAATGAGCAATGAGATGAGAAAGAAGAAAAAAAGAAAGCATCAGGCAGGTACTGATGCAAATGCATATGAACACAGGTTGGAGTTAGGCACTGTCAGCATGCACTTTCATATCGGAATTGTGATCCAGCAGTTTGATCTTTTTGATCAATTTTCATGCATATAAGATGGGAGATAGAGTCGCATTGTCAGCAGGCGTTTACACTTCCCGCGGGCTTCTATGCCTGCTTTTCTTTTTTGATGTTTGGCATACCCCTTTTTATGGAAGAGAGTTGATGCATGCATATCTACTGGTAATAGTCATAGTGATAGAATAGATGGATACCTTGGTCGATTTAGCCTGTACTCTGCAATGCTTTGATCATAATCATTTAGCATTCTGGAGGTCTGCGCTACCGGTCCACAACAGACCACAAGCGTGATACATCACTATGTCTCGAGGCTACTGCATTTTTTCTTGGACGGAAGGTAGATATCAGCTGGGGCAGAGGGGATGCTTGTTGCTTTCTCTCAGCTGGCAGCTAGTAAACACCTACTATTCATACTCACCGAAAATTGTCCAGCAAGGGGCAGTGGACCGAAGTTGAACATACCCAGTGATACTTCTCCCTTGAGTCGAAGCAGTCTGCTAGTTGGTCAGTTATGTGAGAATGATGGAGATGAGCCATGGCCGACAGATGAGATCTACCTTCTATGTGGTTTGAAATACTTCCATTTGAGGAAGTTAGATCAGCATCCCGACGTCTCTTCCATTTATGCCTCATGCATACATGGTCCAGACATGCCTTAAATCTGTACGTATTGGTCCATGCCATCAACATCGGAAATTCACTTGCAATGTGAATATGAGGCTCTGAACCAGACATGATGTCAACATTCGGCCATTTTGCGTGTCTGAAACGAGGTGTTTATTCCATGCACTCTGCTTAGCACCTCAGAAGTCCGGCGTGCCATCGAAGCTATCAATTTCTGGCTCCAAGCTTTCTGTGCCACGATCAATGTTGAACAATGTGCTACATCTGGACTCTCTGGCGCGTTTTACAAGGTAGCGGTGAGAAGAAAGGTCTCGTTACACTTACAATCCAGCCTCTCGGGGCTTATCTGCATCAAAGGGCTGTGGAATGAAGCATCATTAGAAAGCTATACGGATGAGTGCGCACTCTTGATATCCCTTACTTCATACTCCATACCAGCTCCTGGCTGTGTCCCTCATTCCACTCTCAGGCTGATAAAAGAATTTATATAATGCGATGCCTTTGCCAGCCGGTACAGCAGGCTTCAATACCTTCGCGAGCGCGGGAGACGCAGTTGTAACATGGTCATTTCCGAGATTGAGAAGTCCGGTGCTGCAAGCGTCCTGGCAGATGACGATGCCTTGTCGCAAGCGCGAGGCCATCAAAGGGAGCTCCCACAGCAATTCTCTGCAACCTCGGCTCTATCGTTTGCTTATGTTGTCACAAACTCCTGGGTTGGTTATTCGGCGACCTTCGCCACTGCGTTACTTGCTGGCGGAGGGCCCGCCGTTTTTTATGGTATCATAGCGGCTGCGATCGTGTGCACTATCATCAGTAAGCCTGCGTTGCTCAGTTTTTTCTTTAGTAGGCAGATTCTGATATGCTATCTCAGCCTTGGGCCTTGCCGAGTTGGCATCTGCTTTCCCGTCGAGCGGAGGACAGTACCACTTCACCTTTATGGTCTCGTCGCCAAAGACTCGGACGCCCTGTGCTTTTGTATGTGGATGGCTCAGCTCTCTTGCCTGGTGCCTGGGCACAGTGTCTGGCGCCATTTGGTGCGGTATGTCCTGAGTCCCTGTGAGAGTGTCAGCAGGCTCAACTTACGATGAAAAGCTCAAGCGATGGTTGCGCTCGTCTCGTTCCTGAATGAGGACTACCAACCCAAGCAGTGGCAGACATACCTTGTCTTTCTTGCTCTTGTTTCACTGGCCACGGCAGTTGTTTGTCTCCTCGCCCAGTGGTTGCCGCGGCTGGAGGTGTTCATGTTTTGGAGCAGCATGTCTGCCTTTGTCGTGTGTCTCGCCACGGTGCTCGGAATGAGCAAAAGCAAGCAGCCGGCCAGCGTTGTTTTTACCCAGTACGAGAACGAGACGGGATGGTCCGACGGCTTCTCGTTCCTCATAGGAGTCGGGTCCTGTATGTACCTTTTCTGTGCCACCGACGCAGCGACACATATTGCTGAGGCATGTCTCATGCATTCGAGTATCACCTTGGGATCGACTGACTCTTCTGCAGGAGGTCCCCGATCCAGGCCGGAATATTCCCAGGGTAATGTGGCTAACGCCAGTGATCGGGATTGCAACGACTCTGCCTTTTGTGGTGGCCACGTTATTCTCGACGGTCGACCTGGGGGAGATCGTCCGGTCCGAACTGCCTATCCTGACCTTGTATCATCAAGCGACGGGTAGCAAAGATGCCGCCGTCATTTTCACCGTCTGGCTTTTAGTGAACTCCTTTGGAGGTACGCTCGCCGGGCTCGCGACATCCGGTCGCCTGGCTTGGGCGTTTGCCCGGGACAACGGGCTGCCCTGTTCCAGCACGTTGGCCACAGTGCATCCTAGATTTCAGACGCCCGTCGCCTCGACCGTCAGCTGTGCCGTGCTGATGGCACTGTATGGTCTGATCTACATCGCGTCCAGCACGGCATTCAGCAGCATCGTCTCGATGTCCGTCCTGTCCCTGAACGTGACGTATGTTATTCCGCAGGGCATCCTGCTATTCCGAGGACGGGAGGATGTCCTTGTCGACCGCTGCTTCAATCTAGGGCGATATGGGGTCTTTGTCAATGCATTCTCATGTCTATGGGTTGGCTTGTACACGGTCATCTTCTGTTTTCCGACGATCATGCCGCCCACACCGTCCAATATGAACTATCTGGCTCCTGTTCTCGTCATTATCGTCATCTTGATCCTTGCGGTGTGGTATGGTGGGAAGAAGAAGACGTTTGTTGGTCCGGTACGTATACAGCACAAAGTCTCCGAATGTGGCGGTCTAACTGATTCATGGGTCTTAGAGCGTTGTGATTCCAGGATCCCATGCCAAGCAGCATGATGAGATGCAATCGTGACGAAGCAAGAGACTCCGCCTTACTTAGATGACTTACACGGCATCGTACCATCAACATATCTATGTTTAATGCTTCTCCTTGACGTTAGACCCAATAATCGGTTGTTATGGCATGGATTACCCCCTACTAGCAAATAGAACAACGGTAGACCTCTTGTAGAACTACCTCCCCCGAAACGCAGGCTTCCTCTTCTCCGCAAAAGCCATGAGCGCCTCGTACCGATCCTCCGTCTCAATCACCCCGTTGTACGCCTCGTTCTCCGCCGCCTCCCCACGCTGATACCCGCCGACCGCCCGAATCGCCTGCTTGATGGCAATCGGGCCGCCCTCGCAGATATCCAGCGCAAGCTTGATACTCTCGCGCAGCACCTTCTCCCGCGCCGCACCCGCCTTCTCTTCCTCCTCCGGCAGGATCTCCACAAGCCGATCGCAAAGCCCCAGGAAGTACGCCTCGGGACCCGACACCCGGCGGCCCGTGAGGATCATGTCCCGGGCGCGGTTGACCCCGATCAGCGCAGGGAGACGATACGTGCCGCCCGCCCCGGGGATAATCGCCAGCCGGGTCTCGGGCAAGCCGACGATGGCCGAGGAGCCGAAGACGCGCAGGTGCGTGCAGAGGGCGAGCTCGAGGCCGCCGCCCAGCGCCATGGAGGAGATGGCGGAGATGGTGGGGATCTGGAGGGCGGCCAGGTCGTGGAACGTGCCGCGGAGTTTGGCGAGGAATGCATTCGTCCTGGAAGATTTTTCAGCACGGTCAGTGTGTGGTGCGTGGCCCCGGGTACGTTACTCGTCCTTGGTCATCTTCGCTCGCTCTTTGAGGTCCGCGCCTGCGCAGAAGGCGGCGTCGGCGTTGCTGGCGATGATCAGGGCGCGGGTGGGACCTGTGCCGCCCTCGGCGGCGATGGAGTGGATCTGCTTGGACAGGTTGTCGAGGAGGGTCCGGGAGAGGGCGTTGCGGGCTTTTGGGCGGTTCAGGAGCAGGACGCGAATGCTGCCGGATCCCGGCGCGGGGACTTGTTGAGTCTGGATGACGGCATCGTCGCTGCTGGTGCTGTAGCGGGAGAGGGTAACGCGAAGCGAGATGATGCGAGGGAAGCTCGAGAGAGCAGGTGAGAGTCGTGGGAGTCGGGGAGGCATTCTCAGATATCAATTGGATTTCAGGTCAAGACCGTGGAAGTAGGCAAGGTTGAGCAAAGGGGTGGACATGAAGATGGAGACGTCTCTCCAACACGCGGGGAAAGGTTCATGCCGCGGATAAGCGCGCAGCGATCATTAAGGTATCAATTTTAGCATGGTCAACATTCCAAGTGGAAGGGTATCGTATTGTGATTGACTACCATCTATATAACATAATAAAAGAAAATGAATATATACACGAAAGCTAATGTACAGACTTGCTAAGGTTCCCAGTGTAAATACTCCCAGACCTCATCATCGCTTGGCCAGGAATCCCACAGCGGAGTCGCCGCGACGATATCATATGCCTCTTGCAGCTTCGAATCGGACATGATCCCGTCTGAATTTGAGACATCGTTGGAAAGAGATGGTTCTTTTTCTCCCTCGGACATTGACACCGACGGCAAGTCGTCCGATGGGCCCCAAGGTCGTTTCCCTCTGTATCCTTCGAGAAACACACGTAGTGCAACCAGAGTACGCCGCATCATGCGATCTCCGTTCATATGCTCATCGGACGTCTCTTTGAGGGTGGCAGCATTCTGGCTCATCCACCGAATCAGTTTCAGCAGGCCGTCATGATCCCCAGCCAGCCCTAGCGCTCTGACGAATGCGTGTAAAACGGCAGGAGAAGGCACGTGAAGCATAGGAGGAATAGCCACCGGGGGACTCGTAGCACTCTCGCAAGTGGCTACCAGACGCTCACCGAAAGGGGCAGTTTTCGGATCCGAAAGGACAAGCTGGTCGAAGTGTTCCTTGAGAATGCAAAGTCCACTCCGAACCATGTCCTCAAACTGGGGACGCAGTACCGTGGAGTGTTTGATATTTCCTCGCCGTGCTGCTTCATGAACAATTGCCAGGCCCTCTTCTGCGGCGCTTGGATGTTTCAAACCTGCAATCACAGCCTTTGAGAAGCTGGCACAAAGGACCTGATGCCCCTGCAGACCAGGCTCGATTGCACGCTCTTTCATCCAACCGACGACCTCGACCATCTCATACCAAGCAAGCACCCGTTGTGCACTGCGGCTCATCCTTCGATATGGCGTTCTAATGCGATCCTTGCTCAGCGCTGTCAAGAGATGAATCCACGAAGGGGTGAAACCGGACTTTCGAACTTTCAACAACTGAATCGCATGCGACAAGGTTTTGGGAGGCTGCAAGGTACCGCTTGCTCCTGAAGCATGAAGATTGGAATACAACGTCGAGGTTTTCGGCGGTTTCGGATGAATATTACCCATGATAATTGGGAAGAGATCTGCAGTGCGTATATCGTGCCGTTCCAGGTGCAAGGAGTCAAGACTCGAAAAGTTGCAAAGCAAGGCTATGAAAGACGAGAAGAGATAGTCCGGCAGTTCGTTCAAAACCTTCGAATCCAACGCATCATAGTCCGATGTACGTTCCCGTACAGTGCACAAAGCTTGGATTTGTTCGTTCGACAAGTCACTGCAACTGAGATAATCCAATCCGCGATTGAACGTCGGCGCAGATCGCAGAAGCAAAGCCAAAAATCTCCCGGATGGACGAATACCTTGGGAAAGCATCTGTTTGAGAAGCTCTTCCAGGGTAGGAGGCTCCGTGTGTACGTAAATCAAATCGCGGGCGGAGGAAGGTTCCGGGAAAACTTCCAGGCCATCGCCTGGTAGGGAATGACTGACATGGTCGAAGTCATTATCGATTGCTTTTCTCCGGAAAATCAATTTCTCGGCCATGGCGACATAGACACTCGCTCGTGGAGGTAGGCCTTGGTCTTGATATGACAGAAAGCAGGCCCAAGCTTCCCGCACCGTGCGCGTGGCGCGGATTCGGGCCACCCAGACTGCATGATGATCAGGCTTGCTTCCAGCAGGCCCACGAAGCAGTTGCGGCCGACGCATCAAGGCCCTAGTTTGAACCGTCGGGCTTTTGTCCGTGTCCCAGCCTGCCAAGATGCCAGAAACCTCTTCCCAGCGAGTGTGAGAGTAGCCTGCCTCTCTCATTTGAGCCATCACGCGCATAGCGCGACTCTTCATTCCTTCGTTCCCTCGTTGAGAGTCGATCCCAAGCTTTTCTTCCTTCCACGGTGGCCATGATGGTGCCTTCAGGTCTGCCGATTGCCGTTCGGCGGAGGTCTTCTTGTGGGCCAATTGCACAGCAATGATGCCTTGATAGCCTTGCCGTGTGACCGGAAGGACTGGATCGTGTCCAGCCATAGCCTTGAGAAGTTCGAATTGAGCCTGTTGCTGTACCGAAACGAACTTGAAAGGACCCGCTTTGCAAGGTAACGAGAGCAGCCAGAGACATGCGTTGAACTTGTCAGCCATGAACTGATTCCTCCGATGTCTGGAGCTCTCTGAAATTCCTTGGCTGTTTCTTAGCAGAGTCAGATAGGATGCGAAGGCACGCGCGATGGTGAGCTGGGCCTGTGGCCATACTTCCCGAGCATGACGGAGCAGACGAGTAACGAACGCGAAACACGTAGTAGGATCGATGAGGAGTTCGGTCTGTTGTTGGTCGAGGCAGTCCTCGAGCTCCTGGTTAGTGTATTGTGCGCGCTTGGAGATGTCGAAAGTCGGAATTCGTCGGCCAGTGATGATGTGCAGGGAATAAACTAGAAGCAAGCGAAAAGTCTTCGCGTCGAGATTTTTTCTCCGCAGGAGAAGTAGGGGAATGAACGGAGGTATGAGCCGACGTCTGGAACCGAGTCTGACTTCCTCAGCAGACTCAAGCATCAAAATTCGGAGAGTAGCTTCGTGAGAGGTGTTGCTCCTGAGAATCCATGACCAAAGCAGCACATCGCTGGGGCTGCAATGACGTGCCGTCAGATACTCCATGACTTTTGGAGGGAAGGTCCGTCGCAATACGGCATCTAGCTCCGGTGTCGCTTCGGTATCATAATGTGCTCCATGTTCCCGGCCCATGATCGGATCCACAAACCGTATCCAATCCGCAAGAATGGTCTGCAACGATAATCTCGGGTGTTTGCGAAGTGTTTCTCTCTGCCGTTTCCCATGACCATTAACAATGAGATTCAAAGGCTGCATCTGACCGAGTTCATCTTCGGCACTGTGTGCAGATTTATGAAGAATATCGAGTAGATACTGCGTAGGGGTCAGAGGAGAAGATTGTGTCCTCTTCACTTTCGCGGCATTTCGAGAAGGCTTCGCTTTATTTTCAGAGTATCCTGTCAAAGTTGCCTCGTGCTCGCTTGAATGTTCATTGACAATTGACGGTGATTTGTCCGATTCGCAAGAGCTTTCCTTACGTCCGCATAGATGATTCGGCGCGGGAGGTAAAAACGATTGGCTCAATTGAGACTGATTTCGGACCCTGCTCCAGAAGTCATGCCAACGGTCTTCCTCGCCATTTGCATCAATCGGCCGTTCATGCTCTCCAGGGGCGGCAGTGCTGGTATAACTGTATTCCCGGAAAAGACCCGCAGGATCCAGGAAGCCATTGCGAGGCCACTTCGTTTTGTGTGTAGGACGCGAAAAAACTTTGGAGGAGTAATCCTGATAGGAAGAAATGAACCATTAGCAAAGCTTCAAACATCGCCATTACTCTGTGAGAAAAAGATCCATCCCCTCATACCTTTGGCCATGGACGGTTGTTGATCAAATGCGCCGTTCTCAGAGAGGCCCCCGAGCGGCTCGGAACATGATTGAAGACCGATGACATCCATGAAGAGAGTCATGAGGAGGCTGCTGAGGAGCCAGAAACGGAACCAAAGGAGCCTCCCGACACAGTTAGGAGCATCAATTAAAATGCGTTAGTAGGAAGTTGAGGAGTAGTAGATAGTATAGTCTTCGTTACTCTGGGACCCGGAAGGAAAATGAAATGCTGCATCACGTGAGCGCCTGTCACGTTTTTAGCGCGCATCGACCGGATCTCCCTCTTTACCCAAGTTGGTGAATCTCCCTCCCGCCTTTGCAGTCCGAGAACGAGGCGTCGTCGTTGTTTTCGTTTTCTTAATCCCAATATCTCTCCTTTTTACTTGTAGTCATCCACAATTCGAGGATCCTCGTTGCCCCGTATCTGTGCCTTTCGTCCCACCGTGGGATAAAGTCGCGACTTTCCTCTGCACGAGTTGCGACCCTTATCCTTCGCTCGGCCCTGTAACGATTGGCGCATGCGCATCGGAGATCGAGCCAGCCTCAAACACCGATATTCTTTTCAGGAACTCAAGGTCTCAGTTCCGGTTTTCGTCTCAACATTCACTCAAATCCTGTACTCTCTTCGCGTCGCGGTCAGATTCCGGGTTTTTATTCGCCCGAAAATCTCCTAGGTCGACTCCTGGAACGAAGTCATTTTTCGTCCTCGCGTTCAAGGAGCAAAACGGCGCAAGTCCGGACTTGAAGCCATGAGCGCAGACAAAGGCGGGGAGACGCTTCCAATTCCCGCCACCAACGGCGAACCTCAATCCGCGACTCCAGATCCGCCTGTACTGTCGACGCCTGGAAAGCGAAAGCGTGGATCGAGCCATGATGTTCACGCTGCCCAGGATGCAGGTGCTTCTGAGTCGCAGGTTCAGGAGAGAATGAAGCTACACGAAACGCTGTGTAATCTTGTGGAGATCCTCAGCAAGTGCGCATCACCCATGCCTTGTTGATCCCTCGCACTCGAGTTAACTGACGCGTCCCAGGAATGATACCGAACTTCAGCTACTCTCTTGCCCTCTCCCGTCGTCACCTGCGAAGCCGCGTTCGAAACGCGCAAAAGTATCAGGAGAGAAAGATGAAAGTGCTAGCATACAAGCGAGGGTTGCGTCGGATCGTTACAATACTCTCTCTGAGTTTCTGAGTGATATCGACAGGGCCTCCACAGCCGTAATCGAGAGGAGCAAAGCTCAAAATAGTGGGGTCGAAGCCACCGAGGGGAGCCGCCTGACAGAGACGGTAAATCGCATCGCGGCATTCAAAAAGCTTCTGAATAGTCTTGTGCGTCAGGCTTCTGTGGGCCAGTCTAGCGTCAAGAGGGAGAGCACAGAAGACGACTCAGAGGTTCCAGGAGAGCCAACGCCCTCAACCACAGAAGTTCGAAGTGACAATGTGGTTCTCACTGTTCTTGGTAACCCATCCAATCCGAAACAGCTCTATTCCAGCTTGCAAAAATCCGTCAAAGTGTCTCTGCCTTCTGGTGAATCAGCAGCAGAGAAGTATGTGGAAGTACAAGCGCCTCTGCGCGAGATTGGCTTACCCAATGGTATCACGACCACCAAAGTTGCAGCTTACAACCAGGAGAACAAGCCGAAAGATTCCAAGCGAACCTTTGGCGAGGTGTTCACACCTCGTCCAACACTGCCACAATTAGAGCCGCCCCGCAGGGCCAGGTCGTCTTCTCGTACCGCTCCTGGAGGCTGGATTGACCCATTCGAAGCAGTCACAAACTACAAAACCTTCCCTGGCGAGCGCAATAATTATTGCCTTGCACCTCTGCCTTCAGGCCAGTGGCTCCAGTATGGCGGAATCACCTCATCCCCTTCTTACTGGGATCGACGGCAAAAGCAACAATCTGCTCAGCCGCACGGAGACGAGAGATATCATGAGGATCCTGCTCTGTGGACAGATGACGATGCGTCTCTCTTGCAGGGCGTGTATTCTTCATTTGCACCTTCGTTTGACAGCTCAGGAGCCATTGTCCAAGCTGATTCAAAGGACATGGTATGGTGGGGGAAACGGGGGACGAAACGCTTGTACACCCTACTTGCCAAGACGTACACAGAGGAGCCTGAGGAAGTATCGCTGACAGAGCAACCTGGCAACATTGGTGAATTGGACGAAAGCACTTTGGAAGAGATGGTCAAGTCATTCAACCCTGAAGACTTTGCTGATCATGTCTCGCATACTTCCGAGAAAGAAAAGGAAGAAACAGAATCAAAGGGCATGGATGACCTGTTACGCGATGTCTCTGAGCTGCTGGAGACGCTGAGCTCGTACCAGAAGATCCGCAACCTGGAAATACCAGCTCCAGGTGGTGAACCCAAAGAGACAGCAGCAGACCAAGGCACGCCATCTCACGCGTCTGCAGCAGAACAGGGTATCTATGAGACACTCAAATCCAGCCTTGCCGCTCTCGTTTCAAATCTACCGCCATACGCCGTTGCCAAGTTGGATGGTGATCAACTAGCCGAACTAAATATCAGTGCAAAGATTTTGGTCGATAATCCGGACTATCACGGCACTATGGAGAAGGATGACTTCACGCTGCAGCAGGAGCGGGCGGCGGCGATGGCACCGATGACTACTGGGCCGAACCGAACATCTACACCCAGCCGCTCTGGAAGCTATCAGGCAGGTTACAATCAGCGGGCCTACGCTGCTAATGCTCGGGTACAGCAACCGCAAGCTGGTTTCCAGCCGCCCCAGCCGTATTACGGCGGAAGGCAGCCTTCGACCTCAGGGCCTTATACCCCAGGCCCTCAACAGCCCTATGCTAATGTTCGCCCTCCGGCAACGCCTACTCAGCGACCCGGATTTGTGCCGGGATACCAACAACCTACTCCGCAATATAACCAGGCCAGTCTTCAGCAGTTCCAGCGTCCGGGCCACAACGGCTACAGCCCCTATACGGCACCGCAGGCCTTACCGCCTGCTCAAGCTTCTCCGCAGTCGTACGCACCCAGGCCTGCACAGCCTGGAGCATACGCCCCGCAGTATGCTGCAGGGCGTAGTGGCTCGCCGCAAAAGCAGCCAGCATATGCCACCCCTCGGACACGGGCACCATACATGGCCCCAGGCTCTGCAAACCCCCAGCAGCGGTATGTCTCGCAACAGCAACCACCCAATTACAATTACCCTTCCAACCAAGCTCCTCCGGCGCCAAATTCGTACTCCAACTCTGCCGCTGCAATGACTTATGCTCGGAGTGCTGCTGAACAGGCTGCATTGATGGACCGGAACAAAGCACAATTAGCGGCGCAAAGCCGACAGAGCTCAACACCTCAACCCGCTACGGAAGCCAGCTCTCAAGACCGAAGTATAACGCCAGCTATCAAGCAGAATGGCACTCCTGTACCTTCGTGACGGCTCTTTTCTCATTTGCTAATCTTAGTACTCTTGAGGCGTGGTTACGGTGACACAGTGATGATTCGATTCGGATGGCGCATGCCTTACTGTATTTCTCCCTTTTTTCTTTCTTTTTGTTAGATTGGCGCCTGGAAAATCAGACTCGAGACCGTTTTCATGTTTACTTTCAACCATACGTTATTATCACCGATTTCACCACCGAGTGAAATATGTAACTTGCTAAATGATTGCTGTTCTTCCTTGAGTGCCTTTTCATCTTCTCTTCGTTGTCCCTTTCTTTTTACCTTTTAATGCTTTACCCGCAACAACTACTGCCGTCTGCCTATGCTCTGGGATGGATTTTCTTAGCGATCGGCGCGGAATGCTTTCAAAGAATGGTCTGGGTGGTTTTGTCCGGTCGGTAGGGAGGGAGTCGAACGTGGACATGTTCTCTAATTCTAGAAATTGCGGCTTTATCAATCCAATTCAAGCTCTTCTACTCTACTTTTGAAAATTAAATGATACTGTCTTTGTCTGAATTCACTCATCCGTAGTATACATCGTTCTGTCTATGAATACAAGGCTTCCAGTTGCCGGTGGTACACTACCTCTTAATGCCAGTTTGCGAAGGCGTGTTCTGTTTCTTTCTGTTCTGTTCAGTCTTTCCCTGTATTTAGGACCTGGAGGTCAATCCAGATGGAAGAGATGACGAGAATGGTCATTATCCCGAAAGCTAAAGGGAAACGGTCGAGTCGTTGTACTGCTGCCGTGTGATGGGTGGAATCAAGGGATGAACATGGCGGCTATGGTCATGAAGCCAAAGTATCTGTGAACAGTAAATGAGTTTCTGGTGCTGGGAATCGTTGCTTTGGGATGGCAACCGAGGAAAAAATAGGTAGAAAAGAGGCAGGATTGACAGAAAGGAAGGGCAAGGGCTAGATACGTACAATGTTGCAGACCTCCATCCATCGCGGGACTCAAGGTGCTCTGCACCGGACGAATAATTCGTTGCTATCGCGGCAGCCGCACCGCCAACAAGGGCAACGACTAGGATACGACCTGAGAATTCGGAGATCATGCTGAAGGCTAGTAAGGGGAGGATGATAGCGGCTGAGGCGATAATGATGGCGGAGTAGACGGGCGCTGTATAGGTTGCGCGGCGGGGGGACAAGGAGATCAGGTCTTTGCTGTGGTCTAGGAACCGGGATTCGGCTGTTACGATGGGCGAATGTTCATTCATCCAGGTGCGGTAGGTCTCGATGTCTTGATCTGAGGCGCTGGGTATGGTTTGCAGGACTCGGCTATATGCCGCGAGGGCGTTGTCTGAAGACAGCGTGTCAGCAAAGGGACGGCGGAAGTTGCATATATTTGAAATCTTACTGTATTGCTTCGTCTTGTGGATCAATGCTCCCATTACCTCTACCCGTCTGTAATGCAAGGATGAATAAACCTGAGCTTGAGCATCCATGCGTCTCGAAGCAGGCAACTTCTTCGTTCCCTCCCGTTCGGCTGTGGCGACCCGATGCATCTCTTCGTACTCGTCCAGAATTTTCAGATCTTCCTCCATTTGCGCAATCTCATCCTGGAGATAGAGGAGGACGCGGTGATTCAGATCTTCGAACCGGCGGTATAAAGGAGGAAGATGAGTTTCCTTGCTCTCGGAGGACGAACTTA